TTTGAATGCACACTGAATAAGTTATAGATTTAAACCGTCTGTGCACGTGTCATTACGCATTTACCATGTGCCAATCGACACGCTGAACGCCTCTATAAATGGGATGTTCCATCTCAAGGGATTATCCAGCAAACGTATTTTTCCAAAAAATATATATATTTTATAAATAAATTAGAAATAAGGCAGACACTACACACGGTGGGGGGTGATTTGGCCAGAATCAATCCCGGCTGCTTTTGTCTCCGCATTGCTGAGATATAAATTTACCCACTAGACCAGACAGTTATTCAAGGCTGAGTTGACATAGAGGAGACACACAGACCCAACGGAGATAGGAAAGGTCACGAGTGCTGTTCTTGTGTACAGCACATATCTTCATCGCACGTAAACAGCGCATACGTAATCTTATGTGTTGTGAAGGGACATTCCCCGAAAAGTTACAAGTTATATATTTTTACTTTCAAGGCCACAGTGTTATCAACGAATGTGTTGTGTTTTATATAATGTAGCGCTATCGGTGTGTGCTTTATAATCCAATATTCGTAAATGTGTGTGTCTGTGTGGGGAACTGTGGTATTATATCCAAGCAGGTGAACATTACAGCGCTTAATTTTAGTCAGAATTGTTTTTAATAATAGCCTTTACGACCAATATTATTATTCATAATGGGTTTCTTTTGGGTTAGATCGCCGTGTAGGCATAATGTAAACTTTTAACTATAATCATCCACCCCACGTGACGGAGCCAATCAAATTAAGTTTTCACGTCTTGGGACAAATACGCAAATGTATTTGGTGTATCAGCAAAGGCGGAGGAATATTGATAATGATGCTGGTTGTAACCTCCAGAAAAACGTCTTGTATATTTTACTCGAACTTTTAAACAGTCCGAATTTTCTGAAAAACCAAAAAATAAATTGGCATATTTTCACAGGACGTGAAAACTTGATCTTATTTGCTCTGTCGGGTGGTGGAGGGTAAATAGCCTAGCCAGAGCTGTCTGGGAGACAAGCACTGGAAAATGACATATACTGGAAGAACATATCATGAATGTGACATTCTAAAGAACAACGTATTACGGTAAATCATCCAGGACAAATGTGCATAAAATTATATAGAACTATAGAGAACTGGAGAATGGTTGATATTCGTTTTACAACAGTGAGCATTGGAGAAACGTGGCGAAAGTGAATATATGGCTGGGCTGTCGAGGCAAGCTGTGACTTTAACGTTTACAATGTTTACGACCCAACGTTCTATATTGTATTTTTTAAGTGTACTGAATGCATTTCCATCCAGCAATACTTTAAATGCAAGTGCGTCAGCTCTTACACGCTGGCAGAACATAAATGCAGCAGTCAGTCGATGTATTCTTTATAAGCCAGCAGCTGACTTGGCAGCTGCTGTAACAAACCACACTATTCATTGAATGTGTCATTGTTTGTTCCGCTAAATAAATTATACACAGGAAATTTGAAAAAGTACTTTCTTCCATAAATGCTTTTTCTACTTTCAGTATTGAGATTTGTGAATTGTTGTCACGCACTGTATCTGTGCATTTCCATACCATTACCATCATATCAGTGATGAATGGAGGTACCCTATTTCTGCCTTCGGCCATACAGGCACCATGTACAAGAGCAGTCGTCTGTCCCTCGGGGCGTTGCACATACTCTTGCGTGCATACACACGATACACACACGCATGGCTGTTAGGCCACACCACTCTCAACATCAGCAGCATCAGCAATATTACCAGTGGCCACTTCGAAGGAGTAAATAATAGAAGAGACGGAGGCACAAACAATAAAGAGGTGAAGCTCGTGCTCTTCAATGGCACGCTTTGTGACGGATTTACAGAGGTGCCTCGAACACCGTGTTAAGCATTAAACATTTAAAACACGGCGCCACTGCACATCGAACCTGAGACCCAAAGGCATGCGTGCTATTCAGCTGCATTTGTGAGAGAGCAGGACAACTGGGCCATACAAGGGAGATTTCTCCGCGGGAGGAATTGTAACCATGCAGATGCATACAAAAGCCAGCCACTGAGGCCGTAGCATTCAATCATCATTGAGGCTGCAGCATGCAATGGGGTTGGCTTTCCAAAACAAGCCATGCATGCAGCCAGCTGCTGCACACACTGCACTCGAAGTGTGCAATCCAGCCAGTGAGATGTCAGCTTGTAAAATGTAGCCGTGCCTGTGCACAACTTAACATCGTCTTGGCAGTGGTGGTGTAAGATCAGATCGTTGGATAGATGTTTTACAGAATCTTGATATGCAGTTGCATTTATATGAATCCAATTCTAATCGCAATTGTAATGGAATCATACCAGAGATCACATGCCATCATAGTCTACTGGCGTGGCGGCGAATGTGGTGCATGAGTCCAACAGCGCCCAGAGTTGCCGAATTGCGCTGTGCTGCGACTGCCCGGGACAAGCTGCGCTGCACGGTGTGGACAGTGGAGCGGGGGGCCCACGGGGTTGTTGGGAGATGAGCAGGGAGTGTGCGCGTCGGGGCGCGGATTGGTCAATATTGTTGCGGGGCCTGAACGAGGGAATGTGTTTGGAAGAGACACGGGGTGCAGCTCGCGCACGTGCTAGATGCGGGGCTTGGACCCACTCGACGGCCTGAATAACGTGGCAGGGTCAGAGCCGGCAACTGCGCAAAAACGGTGCACGCATAACGCTCACGGCGCGTTCTTGGCCCTTAAATTGGGACTGAAGATGTACAGCCAACGGCTTTTTAGGCAATGGCCCTCCTTCATAGCACAATGGGCCATTGTGTTAAATGGCCAACAATCACTTGTGTGTTTTCATGTGCTGGAGTTATTGACTAATGTGTTGGGAGTATGCTTGTGCACCACTGACACGGCAGTGCCACATTTCTTTCACAAAGCTAGAGCGTGACAGGCGTAGGTGGTCGTTACAGTGGCTGCGGTCATGAATAGAGATGGAGACTCCAGTTTAGAAGTTTCAAGTCGTTATTTCGGAATGTTGAAAAGCAGAACCTTCAGCACACCCATTGTTACGCATGGTTACAGTGTTTCCTGGGTTCTGTAGTTTCACAAGCACCATGATCCTAAGCCGAGTTAGTGCTTTGCAAGTACTCGCTTACGGTCTCGTTAGATTAATGATGTACATAGGCTGTGCTCAATTTTATTTTAATTCCTTATTTTGCTCATAGATTGCATCGCTTCACTTTAAATAAAGTGCTCCTCTACTCCCACATCCTCCATATCTGACAGTTCTTGCAATAGCTGTAAATGCTGAGAGGATTTACATTGAATATCCAATGAGTAACTGCACAACATACTGTCTGGGAACTCACTTTGCAGATAAGATCGACCGACCTGAGTCCAGGTATAATATTTGTTGCCTATGATGTCATTAAATCAAGTCACCACATTATAGGCAGCCAATCAGATGTCAACGCATACAATCTTACCAATCAGGATTCAGAGTAACATCAGCAGCCAAGCAGCCTTTTACATAACAGCGAGTCAGTATCCAGCGTTGAACAAGTCCATTCTATCCAATCACGTTTAACCACGACAGCCGGCCAATCCTGGCTGCAACACATACAACCTGGCAATGAGGCACAATGCATACGTCTCACCCAATCCGGTTTGAATAATGTACAGGTCTCTAAGTTGACATGGACAGCAGCTGGACAATCAGAATTCAGGATATAAAGTTGAGCCGATCAAGATTGAACACAAATACAGCAACACAAGTTTTGAAACTGGTTGCAATGCATACACATCCTCATCTCGAAGATCAGAGGGGTATTAACTATTTCATACAATTATTAAGCAAATTATCTTATTCCGTGACATATATTTAAGAATGTGACAAATGCATGAAATACACACCAGCTAATACAAAATGTGCATTAAATAATAATAATAAATCTTCATACTAATGATGCCGGTGTTACTGATATTATTGATTACCATGCTGCTGCTACTGCTGATTAATGATGATAATGCTTTCGTTGACAATGACAACGGTACAGATATTAAAATGCACGATGATATATCGGCTGACAATTACCAGGATTGCTACCTCTGCTGATGACTATAATGACACATCTAGTTTTACTACTACTGTCAAACACTGCAGCAACTACCACCTTAGCATGAAGATACTGCTGATGCTACTGCAGTTGATTATGCTGCTGCATATGATCATGCCATCAATGATAATGCTGCTGTTACTAATGATGATGCTAATGCTGTGCTCGCCAATGATGATAATGATACTGCCCGTGCCGTTGCTGCCGACGAGGAAGCTAACAATGCTCTGGGAAGCAGAGCTGGGAGTGAGCTGGTGGGTGAGCTGCTGGGGGAGCTGGGGGTGAGCTGGTGGGGGAGCTGGTGGGGGAGCTGGGGGTGAGCTGGTGGGTGAGCTGCTGGGGGAGCTGGGGGTGAGCTGGTGGGGGAGCTGGTGGGGGAGCTGGTGGGGGAGCTGGTGGGGGAGCTGGTGGGCGAGCTGGTGGGCGAGCTGGTGGGGGAGCTGGTGGGGGAGCTGGTGGGGGAGCTGGTAGGTGAGCTGGTGGGTGAGCTGGGGGGGAGCTGGTGGGGGAGCTGGTGGGGGAGCTGGTGGGGGAGCTGGGGGTGAGCTGGTGGGTGAGCTGGGGGGGGAGCTGGGGGTGAGCTGGTGGGTGAGCTGGTGGGGGAGCTGGGGGTGAGCTGGTGGGTGAGCTGGTGGGTGAGCTGGTGGGGGAGCTGGTGGGGGAGCTGGGGGTGAGCTGGTGGGTGAGCTGGTGGGTGAGCTGGTGGGGGAGCTGGTGGGGGAGCTGTTGGGGGAGCTGGTGGGGGAGCTGGGGGTGAGCTGGTGGGTGAGCTGGGGGGGAGCTGGTGGGGGAGCTGGGGGTGAGCTGGTGGGTGAGCTGGGGGGGAGCTGGTGGGGGAGCTGGGGGTGAGCTGGGGGTGAGCTGGTGGGGGAGCTGGTGGGGGAGCTGGTGGGGGAGCTGGGGGTGAGCTGGTGGGAGAGCTGGGGGTGAGCTGGTGGGTGAGCTGGTGGGTAAGCTGGTGGGAGAGCTGGTGGGTGAGCTGGTGGGAGAGCTGGGGGTGAGCTGGGGGTGAGCTGGTGGGAGAGCTGGTGGGTGAGCTGGTGGGGGAGCTGGGGGTGAGCTGGTGGGGGAGCTGGTGGGGGAGCTGGGGGTGAGCTGGTGGGAGAGCTGGGGGTGAGCTGGTGGGTGAGCTGGTGGGTGAGCTGGTGGGTGAGCTGGTGGGTGAGCTGGTGGGGGAGCTGGTGGGAGCTGGTGGGAGCTGGTGCGAGCTGGTGGGTGAGCTGGTGGGTGAGCTGGTGGGTGAGCTGGGGGTGAGATGGTGGGTGAGCTGGTGGGTGAGCTGGTGGGGGAGCTGGGGGTGAGATGGTGGGTGAGCTGGTGGGGGAGCTGGGGGTGAGATGGTGGGTGAGCTGGTGGGTGAGCTGGTGGGGGGGCAGCTGGGCTAGCTGTCCAGCTGACAAAGCAGCGCCACGCCGCGCTTGATCCAGTGGCGCGGGTGGCGGTCGGTGAGCAAGCGCATGCCGATGACAAAGTTGGTGGAGTGCCCCGTGGTGGACAGCGTGCCTCGTCGCTCGCTCGTCTTGTACAGAGGACACACGTAGTCGTCCGCTTCCTTGGAGCTGTATTTTTTACCTGGAGCACAGCAGCACAGAGGGACAGTGGCAGAGTCAAGCGGCAGACAAAGGACTGACTGCCTGCCACAAAGGGACGCATCATTGTCACCATCATCGGCTGTGTTTAATCCTCTGTTGGAGGAAGGCCTCTCCCCACGCCGCCACTATCTCCCGCAACATCGAGATGCACCATTGCACCCAGCGCCTGCTCGTGAGCCACTTTCATCACTTCATCTGCTCATGGAACGTCCTATCTGAAGCGTCCCATTGCCTGGCTGCCACTCCATCAGTATTCTTGACAATCAGCCAACGTCCCTTCGAGTGACTTGGCCTGCCTGAGCCCACTCACTTTTATTAACAATGCCTTCCAATTGAGGTGCGAGCACACGGCCAACAGCATCAATCGGTCAATAAACAGAACAATATTACAGATACCATACGGGGAGGGGAACGCCCCGGATGCCCTTCAAATATTAAACAAGTAAACCCGTAAAAACAAAGTTTTTCACTATAAATCCTTTATATGCGTGGCGGCGAACTTAATATAAAGGATTTAAAAATATATTCGCCTGTGGAGGATGCGGGGATCGATCCCGCGACCTTTGGCATGGGAAGCGAGGGCGCTACCAACTGCGCTACTCCGCCACGGCCTGTGGAGGGGTTACGCTCTGGGCTCTTACACTCTGACGTTCAGCCAAAGCCATGAATGCGTTCTATTTGAATATATGTAAAATATTTTTTTTTTGCCTAAAAAGTGTAAAATTTTGGGAATTTTTTTTCACGAACAATAATTGTCTGGCACAACGAGTCTGTGTGGAAAATGTCAGCTCGATTGGATCACGGGAAGTGGGTTAAAAAACGACCGAAAGATTTGCACGGTCCTAAGCAAGCAAGCAAGCACGCGAACTTAATATAAAGGATTTAAAAAGGGAACGTTCCAGGACCACGTGGAATAAGCCTGGACACCGTCAAAAAACAGGAGCAGCTTTTGGAATAAAAAAAAACACTGGAGCTATTTAATAATATTGTTTGGTTCTTTCGGTAAAGTCACGTTGACAGAAAAATAATAAAATGAAAAAAAAATCACGACGTTTCAATCGCAACACAAGCAATCATCCTCAGGTGAACAAATACAGCAGGCGGACTGCTGAGGCAGGAAGAAATATAGCGAGATTTTTTTTATAATTTTATTATTTTTCTACCTACGTGACTTTACCGAAAGAACCACAGAATATGAATTCCTGCAGTCACGAAAAATTTAAGTCAAGACTATTGAATAATGTTTAGACAGAAATGGGACACTTCAGTCATGTAATGATGTGTCAATCGTTTATCAAATCAAAAAGAGAGACAAGATTAACCAATTAGTCTCCGATCATACCTACATATATAGTTAACTAAGATCAATGGGAAAATAATATATATACAATACTACCAATCAGATTCTGGAGATTAAGGGCATTATTAGTAAGACTTTTAAGACTCAATTGAGGCTGTTCTGGACAAATGAATGAATATTATTTCGTGCACGATGGCTAGGAATGGCCAGGATTGTAACGCACTACGTGAATGACAATACCATCACTCACAAAAGACAAAGATCACGCTTAAATCCTTAACAGACTGTTGGGGCAAGTGCTGTTAGCGAACACCTTTGAAGGCCGGCGCGGTATATGAGGGGGTGGGTGGCCAGCACCACACCCGACCGCCATTGTCTCCCCAGTGGCGATGTTTAACATCACATGAGGTACTCATTTGAGGCTGAGTCCACCTAGGGGAGGCCCAGCACAGGCTCAGATAATCGTCACTGGTGTTAGTGGCCGTGAGCGGAAATCGAACCCAGATCGGCGAGTTCGTAGTGCATCGCGCTAACCGCTACACTACCGCTCTCTGCATGCATACATACACACTCACACATACACTCCCACGCAAATGTACTTCCACACATACACACACATACACGTACACACATACACGTACACACATGAACCCATTTGGCTCAGCTGTGAGAGCTGCATTTAAAATATACATCCACCCTCTCTCTCATACCTCTCACGTGTTCCCATGGTCCAAACAAAATAGAAATTATAACTTAGTGCGTTACAATTCTATAAACCTATTGGTTTATTGGTTTATAGAATCAGTCATGTATTTGTTTTATTAATTATGGCTCATTAGTGAATTATATTAGAGACGCGCACAGTGCAATTTCAATTACCACGAACTAATTCCAGAGCAATTATTTGTACCACAGCTATCCCATCCTCTGTCATTGCCCACAAACAACAAACATATTCACAGTTTAAGCCAATATGAAATCACATTTTAAAAAACGCACTGCTCGTGCGACGCCCTGATTTCAAACCACATTGAAAATTCAACTCGAGTAACTCACCGCAGTGAGCCGTACAACCAAATTCACAGCTGGGCGGAAATGATAAAAAGAACATATATACATAAATAACTAATATAACCAGGACTCTCGCTATTTTAAATGCTAGGGAAACGTTTCATGAAAAATGAAAAGCCCCGACATTTCATTTTAATTGGCAATTTCAAAAATAATGTTGGCGTAGGCGGCAGTTTAACAAAAGAATAAAAAACCAAGCGTAAAGGTTACGGGTGAGCAGATGGGGAATTATGTTGTTCGGTTGCAGCTCCTTTCGACTCCAGCTATGGAACGCGTTCTGTTTATCCACGTTAAATTAGCGAGCATAATGCAGATCCTTAACCGTGCTGTGGGGATACGAGCATTAATAGCAAACGATCGCCTGCCACAGCCGCGAGAGGTCTAATGTGCTGGGGTTTTTTTTGACTGGGTATCTCAAGGAGTCTCAGCTAATGGCCTTTGCATCGCTGTGCATCTCTGTGTGGGAGAACGTTTGTTGATTCTGCGATAACGCAGAAGCTCTCTTCATCCCCGAGGTGGTCAGGGTTCTCATAATAATAATAATGGCCCGGGCCGCCAGAGCACTGAGATTCGGAAATTACAATCCAGATTGAAGCCTTTTATGATTAAAACAAATTATCAAGTAATCTGTGGGTCTTTTTAAACAACACTCGCAAGTGATTTCTTGGTTTTAGCATGCTCACTGATGACCAAAACTAGAATAATAGCTACTACATATATAAAATAGGCTTTAGCACTCATATTAAACCCGTTAGATTTTTAAGGCAACCATAAACACACTCCATAAATCCACGCAAATCTAATAACACTTGATTATATTTCTGTGCTCTCCGAATGCTTCAATTCCCACTACATCTGGGACACGTGATCTCCATGACATTCCGGAATTCCTCAGTGGAATCTGTTTTCAAGACAATATTCATGAAAAGAAGCCATGTAACCCCCCACAACACTGGGTTTAAAGTAAATCACTTATACATATCATGTATTTAGAACAAATCTTGACTTAAAGCTTTCGTGACTGCAGGAATTCATATTCTTTGGGTCTTTCGGTAAAGCCACGTAGATAAAAAAAAGGAATAAAAAATAATCACAATATCACGACGTTTCGATCGCAATACGAGCAATCGTCATCAGGTGAGAGCTGCTGAAGCAGGAAAAAATATCTGGCGGGAGCGCTGCTGAGGCAGGGAGTTATAAAGGTTTGAGATGGGTGTGGCCCAAGGGTCAGTGGGCGGAGCTAGAGATGATTTAAATGTTAATGTAAGCTCAGAGAGAGCTTGAAAAGGAACATCGCCACATGGAGGTGGAAAAGGATGGCAAGCCGCAATTCACTAACACATCTAACGGTGGCTGTGTTAGTGAATGTAACTCAGATAGTCGAAAATAACTGCTAGCATAGGTAGGTAGGAAGGGAACACACAGCCAGTTATGACCTAAACTGGTTAATAACGTCCAGTGTGATGCTTCCAAAATTCGCCTCATCAGAAACAAACAGGTCCAAGCAGCAGTTTCACGCGACCGCTTCACATGCATCATTCAGTGACACACCACTCGCTCTACAAACCCAAGGCAAGGCCACAGACCACATCAATTGGCCCCTACAGCTCCTAAGTAAAGCCAAACTTTGTAAATGGTATGCCTTCAAAAGAGCACTTCATCCAGGAAGTGATTTATCTGTTTAGAGGCAGCTCCCCCTTGTTTCTGGTTAGCAAATATAATTCATATGTATGTATGCTGAACTTCTTTCGCACTGCATGTAGCCAACAGCACTAATCGGAGGTGTGGGGGAAGGACAGCAAACTTAACACAAAAAGTTATAAGGAAATTAGTTTTCAATCTACATTTAAAATATCTAGTATGATCTTCTCCAGCCGTTCTTTCTCTTAAAATAAGGCTTTGTACTACTGTATTCGGATGTGGTCAGAGTCTCTCTACCTGCTTTTGAGTGTCACAAGCATTCGAAGGCTTCGCGAGCACACCAAGGCTTACTATTGCAGATAATATGACAACTCGCGTAACCCATCTCCTCAATATAATGTTGCATAGCATCAACACACAAAGCAAATCTTACTTTAATGGATGGGCCTGCCAGCTTCTTCATTTATGCAATGCAATTCCCATTTTAATGGAAGCCGTGAGTTAAGCAGCTGGGACGATTTGTTTTTCAAAGTTGGGTCAGCAGCTGCCGTTGCCAAACGACGGTCTGCATTACATTGGACGGTGCAGCACAATTGCAGATGCCACGTAAATCAATGTGACACTACCAATGGGCTAAAACATGTTGCAGCTGTTGGTAATGTGTGTGTTTTATTGCTAAATAATCATTGATGACATCGGCGAAACATTCCTACGCAGAACCCTCTCTTCTTGTATAAAGAGTATTAAGACTCAGTGAGGCTTTCCTGAAAGAAACAAAGGGGCATTGTATTATTTAATTATTCCTAGATCTTGTCTGCAAAATCTCAGTTTTGACCAAACAAACGATTCCACTTCTCTCGCTCCACATTCGTTTCGGCAAAGCCAACAACCCATCACGGTCAGAACAATAAAAAAACTACAGTTACATCGTGACTTTCCTTAAATAAGCTCTCAAAGTGCCTTACTAGACACGGATTCCTTCACACACCCTCAACCACCAATCATGTAAATTCACCCGAGTAGGGCATTCAACCATTGCATGAACAATCCCCACACCATCGCGATCCCTCACGGTCCTGGCAATTCAACCATCCATCTCACTGAATTATTCCATAAACAAGCCACATTCCATACACGAATGAATCCAATACCTTCAAAATTATACCGCACATGGAGTTATAAGGATGATTTATAAATGTTGACTGTGAGGCTGCCAAGTATGTGCAACGGCCCTCATCGCCATTCGAATACCGTCCCCACCACCATCCCACCGTCCCTACAGAGAATCCGATTCCCAGCCTCGCTTGACCCCACACCTCAGAGAGAACCTGGGTACTAATTACTTGGACTGTATTTCACGGACTCTCCTACACGTGTTTCAAGTTGTATTCATGAAATACAAATAATTGAATGTCACGCGAATGTGAATTTTAGTTGTACCGCCATAGCGCCCTCTAGTGACACATCACACCATGCTGGAGACCCCCCCCCCCCACCCTTGCACAACAACAATAATTATTAAATGTTATATAGCGCCATTCATTCTAACCGCATCTTATAACGCTGTACATTAATTATATATGAAAGTGGGAGCCTTGAGACTACAGTTCTGGTGACGCACAGCACATGATGGGAGCCGCTCCACGTCCGTCAATGGAGCCCAGCGACGCAGGGGAGTTTGAAAGCTACAACGGTGGCGCTCTCATACAGCCGGTAGGCAGGATCTGTGAGGCTTTTGGTCACATGAACAGATTGCAGTGCTGTGTGCCAATGGATCAATATCGCTTTAGGGATGAAAAATAAATACATCGGTTGTTCTTCATACTTTCATGACATGTGGTGTTTTAATAAGCCACAGCCTGCTGATGTAACTCAGTGAATTTGGAACAAATGCAAGGTTGCTGTATTGAATAAATAAACATTGCTGGGAAACACCGACCTGTACACAACCTCCCTAGGAAGTTGTAGTCAATGCAATTTCTTGTAATTAAATTAATCCCTTTTACGTCTATATATTTTTTTATTTACAGAATTCACAGTGCAGATCTAACCGATAGTGAAGTAAGCTTTAGCTTGTACATGTGTCAAACAGGCAATACAATGCCAATGACCACGCATAACACGTAAAAATAATTAACATCGTTGTGGAGAATATAAATAACAAAACAAATATGTCACAACAATAGCAATGCCTGTACAGTCGAGTGTTATCAAGATGATGGGAAACACAGCTGTGAGTGGTTATGGCAAAGCACGTATGCAGTCACTTACTTGGTTTGATCCAAATGACCGGCATGGCATCAAACAGCACCTTGGGGTGCTGCTCGGCCAAGATTCCCCTGCGACACACGGTGGACAGTCGGTGAGTCTGGGCAAACATATCTCAGTGCACTGATGTAAGCGTGATGGATACAAACGGCAATAGTATAACATCACTAAAACGCAAATTAACATCGCTTTCCGTAAAGATAGTTGAGTGACATCGGTAAAAGAAATCATTTTGATATAATAATAAACAACATAATAATATAATTACATGTAATAATAATTAACATAATAATCCTCCCTATAACGTGTATGTCACGAGGGGTTTTGAATATAGTTCATCACACAGGTGAGTAGGGGTTTGTGATGGAGGGGTCTAGACCAGTTCAGGTATCGCTCGGCACTCATGCTCGCCCTGGCCAGAATCAAACTCAGGTCACCAACTTCTGCCCGGCTGCCTTATAATGTTGCCTGAAACTACCAAAGACCCGATGTCATCACCATCATTTGCAAGAGCGAAGCCAATGTGTGGTGACATAATAGCTCAAAAATCACATCAGCATTTACAAATCACAAAAATTAGAAATAGTTTTGACTGAAGACATCAAGATGTCCCTTGAGATTAACATCGAGGGGGCTACTTAATCCCACTACGCTCTCTTAATCTCACTACACTCTCAACAGAACACTCTGAATTAATTAATGAAGGAGCTTTAGAAATTACAATTACATACACAGCTTATGATGTTCACTCATTTGTAAAGTACACATGTATTGAACCTGGTTCATAATGGGCAATCAATTCAGATTAAAATCTTATTCCAGTCAAGTTTTAATTTCAACCTGAAATCAATAATATTTTCCGCAGGGAATTAATGTTGAATCTCAAAGACGAACACAATGCAGATCCTTATATGGCCAACTTATTTCGGGAGCTCTTTCATGTGAGAACTCAAATGTGTAATGCCCAGTGAAAACTCACACATGCGAACAAATAAAACTAAACCAATTCAAACAGGTTGGCAACCTACTTGCTCTACTGGCTAGCTCCACAGCCCATCAGATTAGGATTCACATGTAAGATGACTGCTGCCTCATATACCGACTCTGCCTGTAAAGTGCTGTATTACAGTACAGGCAAATGCTGATATTATATTTTACAAACAAGTCCTGCATTTTTGTTACAAGCAACGTAATTATGCTACATAGCTCGTAGTATTAATCTAATTTTATATTTATAGAGCACCTTCACTCAAGGAACTTGACATACTTTAAAATAGGTGACAGAATAGAATGATTCTGATGGCAGGAGTGGAGGGGCGAGAGGAGAAAAGAGGAAGAGAATGGGCAATAGAGAAGAGGAGGGGGCTCTAAGAGAGGAATTGAAGGAGGCTAAGGAGGGGGACTGCTTCATGTACAGTGGAGCTTGATTCCAGTAGATGGGTGCAAGGAGAGAGAAGGACCAAACACGGGATTGGGCACAGGGAGAAGCAGCCACAGAGGAAGATAGAGAGAAGATTGGGAACGAAGAGCACAGGAGGTCACATTGAAGGAGATGAGGTAGGCCAAGAGATTTAAAGACTAGCGTGAGATGTTTGAAAAGACAGCGGTAGTAAACGGGAAGGCAGTGGAGTTCAAGGAGTCGTGTACTCTGTGATAACTAAACACCTTCTCCAAGGAGTCGTGTAGTCTGTGATAACTAAACACCTTCTCCAAGGAGTCGTGTACTCTGTGATAACTAAACACCTTCTCCAAGGAGTCGTGTAGTCTGTGATAACTAAACACCTTCTCCAAGGAGTCGTGTAGTCTGTGATAACTAAACACCTTCTCCAAGGAGTCGTGTAGTCTGTGATAACTAAACACCTTCTCCAAGGAGTCGTGTACTCTGTGATAACTAAACACCTTCTCCAAGGAGTCGTGTACTCTGTGATAACTAAACACCTTCTCCAAGGAGTCGTGTACTCTGTGATAACTAAACACCTTCTCCAAGGAGTCGTGTAGTCTGTGATAACTAAACACCTTCTCCAAGGAGTCGTGTACTCTGTGATAACTAAACACCTTCTCCAAGGAGTCGTGTACTCTGTGATAACTAAACACCTTCTCCAAGGAGTCGTGTAGTCTGTGATAACTAAACACCTTCTCCAAGGAGTCGTGTACTCTGTGATAACTAAACACCTTCTCCAAGGAGTCGTGTAGTCTGTGATAACTAAACACCTTCTCCAAGGAGTCGTGTAGTCTGTGATAACTAAACACCTTCTCCAAGGAGTCGTGTAGTCTGTGATAACTAAACACCTTCTCCAAGGAGTCGTGTACTCTGTGATAACTAAACACCTTCTCCAAGGAGTCGTGTACTCTGTGATAACTAAACACCTTCTCCAAGGAGTCGTGTACTCTGTGATAACTAAACACCTTCTCCAAGGAGTCGTGTAGTCTGTGATAACTAAACACCTTCTCCAAGGAGTCGTGTACTCTGTGATAACTAAACACCTTCTCCAAGGAGTCGTGTACTCTGTGATAACTAAACACCTTCTCCAAGGAGTCGTGTAGTCTGTGATAACTAAATACCTCCTCCACATGTCACTGCTTTGGGCCTTAATCCAACAGCCACAGCACCACTGCAGCTGTTATTCCACCATGGCTAGCACTTAGCACTCATATAAGAGCAGTAACACTCAAGGCGTAAGCATCCATACCATGAAACATAAGTGCGTACTCTAATATGAGCAAATGCTGTTTGCAACTCAGGTAATGGATTGAGTACATTTTTCTGGAAATGTATATTATTTAAAAAAATGGTGTCAAAATAAGAGAAGCATTAATGTAACACATGTCGAGTGATTCTATGAAGTAGATTTCAGTGTATATGGATTGTAATACCAGTTACTGTATATCCTGCATTTGCTTTTAGAGTCAATTCACAAGGCAAATCAAGATCCATCTGGCACTCCTCATCAGCCAAGCCTCGCACTGTCGTGTGAGAGAACGGTCATGAAAGATGACACATTACTAGAATTAATTCTGGGGTCACTTCAGTAGACCCCGCTAGCCCGCCACAATGACGGGCCAACACAATACCGTCAAGCTCTGTCAAAAGTATTTCATCAAATGCCAATCAGACAACAATCAAATATTGTCTTTTTTTTATTCGATCCTTCAGAGTCAGATAAAGTCAAATTAAGTCAAAGTTCACTTTATATATATGATCAGTAATTGGTCATTAAATTGAGAATTTAGTCAGAGGTGTTTGCCTAGATTTAAATCAAGGAACGCAGTGATGCCATCTCAGGTACTCTGACATAAACGTTCTAAATCCCTGTTGCCATCTGGCCCTCCTAATTTACTTGCAATGCATTTACCAACCATGCTGGTAAATTGCGTATTCAATAGGGGCACACACGACACAAGCACGAAGACCGAGGCGGCTCAGTACTGACTTGCGTCTGTCCCAGCGTGCTCCGTCCAGAAAGAGTCCATTGATGTAAACGCCATCCTCCGGGGAATCCTCACTGCTATCCTTAGCCAGGACCTGCACGAGGAACCATTCAGCACTCAGTGTGTGGGTTAGCCACAATTTAAACCAATGAACAGTAAATATATACATATATTTTGGTAGCACAAGGGCAGTTCCACAAACAAGGCAACCTCAGTCAAAATTTCAGAATAACTTTAATTGCACATATGGGATGTCATTGGGAAGCTAAGTATCTATGGTTTTAGAATATCTGAGTTATTTATGGATTTCTTGAAACAATAAACTGAATGTACCACCACCATCCCTTTGTCAACGAAAAAGTTAATTCATCAGTGTGGTTGGTTTAAAATGTCTGGCCAGGTGGAAGAGTAGGCAAAATACTCTCAGGTGGAGGCCCGTCCACCAGCAGGAGAGCGAGGAAGCAATTGCAAGGCTGCACCTTTACGTTTTTAACACGGTGTACGACCGAACATCAGGCACACACATCTTCTGCCCTCAGGGATTCTCACAGTTACGCACGTCGTCGTACAAATACCTCAAACTCGAAGCCCAGCAGGTCGATGGGGATGGTGTGCTTCCTGGCGTAGTTCTGCATGGCGCCCGTCAGAAAGGCTTGCGTGAAAAAGAACCCGGAGAGCCAGAAGACGTGGGGCTTTCCGTGGTCAAACCAATCCTGTCAGCACCCAGACAGCAACTTTGGAGGGTGGATTTGTTGTGGATCAATCAAGATGGAGCTGCTTGGTGCATATGTGTGTGAATGTGTGGTTGTTGGTGTGACAGCCATTTAGAAAACAATAAGGTTCCCACATGGGGCACCTTATGATCCACCAATCCCACTTCCAAAGTTTCTGCATTACCATTATGCATTCTTTTAACCACTTCATATATCTTAACCACAGCATCAGGCAACACAAAATCAGTTGTCTGGATTCAAACCCAGGTTCTCAGCAGTGCTGGCTCAGCAGTGACAGCCAATATGAGCCTCTCAATCCACCCGGTCACCTGAACTAGGACCACGACTTTTAGAGATGTGGGCAAACAGGGCCTTAGGTGTGGCCATAAATTTGTGTGAGCCACAAACCGTCGCCTCCAAGGTGTTGCATAGCAGCCATGCGTCACCTGCAGGAACTTGAGGCGGGCGAGGAAGTCGGTGATGTAATTGCCGAGTGGTTTGAGGCTTGGATACGATCGCTTGGCCCAGCTCTCCGGGACCTTCCCCACCATCAGGCTGCTGGTCAGCGCCTCCAGCTCCGAGCTCATGACGACCAGACCCTTGATGGCTTTCTGCAGGTTCTGCAACGTGCTGCGGATTGTCCTGATCAAGCTGGCAAGCGCACAGATGAGGGCGACGCAATGCTGGTGAAGACCTCGAATAATATACGAATATGAATGAGCAGATACATTTTTTTCCCGATTTTGCCACTAGATGGCAAACATCACTCAGCACAACTGCACATCAGAAGAGCAGTGATGTTAATTGTCATGCTCTGAAGCTGTAAAGAAAAGTAAAACCTTTTAAAGAATGAAGCCGCAGTGTGCACAACTGCTTTAGTACTATAGATCTTTACATACGGGTGAAAGGGCCATTACGTCAGTCTAGTATCTATCGGAAACATCTGAAAAATATCGATGCTAGATAAAACACTACGAGTTCTTATCTTCATTAGACCTCCTTTGCCAGTACCAAAATATAGTAATCGGGTTTTTCCCATTTTTTCTGGCAACAAAACGGAAACCTTTTTACGAGGATTCATGTCTGCATTAACCACAATACTTGCAGTCAAAATGCAAAGAAAAAAATTATCAGAGTGTTTTTTTTTGAATTTTTTGCATTTTTATTGTGGTTAATGCAGACATGTATCCTTGTAAAAAGGTTTCAGTTTTGTTGCCAGAAAAAAGGGGAAAACCCCTATTATTATTAGTTATTATCTTAATTCATAATCTGACTAAATGTATGTTGCGCGACCTTCCACCCGACGTAGCCAAACCATTGAACGTGGCGCGTGGTGTGCACAATCGGTTCAACGCACCAATTATTATTGTTGCAGCTAAACGGTAAGGTGACGAACAATTCTCACAACCGGAGTTAGCAATTTGAAACAACATTTCGCTTGAAACTGGGTCAAGCACCTTCAGCACAGAAACTAGGAAGTCAGAAACAGACAACTTATGGGTTACTGTGCGTATATTTTAGATACAAATTTAGGCTGTGTATCCCTCGCTAGATGACATACATTTGAAGCTTAATTCATGAGAAAAAGCATTTAGACTTAAGGTCTGTATTGGTTTATTGATGTCACAATGGTGACATCACTTTTAAGTCTTTTTTCTCATTAACGAAGCTTCAAACCAGAGTCTCACAGCCTGGGGGACACGATGCTTGTAACAATGCATAAACAAATGTATTAATTCTACTCATATATATATTTCGATGCGAGAATTGATTATACTATTTACGATTCATGAACATTGGATGCTAATCTAATATTGTTACATGTAGGTTAATGGAGTAAATGAAACGACACAAACGATATAGAAAAACAATTGAAACAATACAAGCAAGATGACATAAATGACAAAATAAATAATTGTTTCATTTGTTGTGAAATTCATCCCCAAATCGTGACAATGTATTGCCTCTCTGGGGTGAGGTGTGAATAATTCTATGTCTAGACATGCCTACAGGACAAGCCGAGGTAGGAGTCTACTCGACAAGGGATGTTCGTGTATTGGTTTGCGCGTTCCTTTAACAGGGGGGGTGTGGGGGGGGATGTTACTTGTTGAAGCGTTCCATTTCCTGCACCAGCACGGTGTTCATGCTCTCCTCGTAGCGCACGGGGAACTTCTGCAGGCCGGCCTCAATGTCAAAGTCCTTGGGCAGCTGTCGGTGGCAGGGAATTCGCAGGACAGGACACGTGGGAACGTTTCAGCGACAGATGAGTGCAGCTTCCTCATTGTCACTCTATTATCGTTATGGTACTGTGCATCACTTTATCGCCCTTCAGCGTGGTTGGTGTAGTTCAAGATGATTTGTTCTGTTTATTTACTATGCCTGGCACTTTTCGTACATTGTCCGTTACAATATTTTTTAAATCAACATTTAATTTGGTGACACGCCTTCAGCATTTGTTGCTATGAACCAGTCTCAGTTCCCCAACCTCCTAAACTGGATTTTTCAGGTTAGCTGTCTTGGTGTTGCCTGTAATTAAGATTTATCCTCGCCCTGGAAATGTTGAAGTGTCACTTAGATAGACAAGACTGTAATCACGTCCTGTTTGAATACGCTGAGGACAGAGACATCTTCTATGATATGAGTTTGTCTCTGAGAATAAAGTTAATTTCAAACATAATTTTTCCATTTGAGCTCCTGCATGTCCATATTTTACACTCCAATGCCCAAATATACTTCTTCTAGAAAAAACATTTCCTGACAGCAACCATATATGCATGACAATTTGAAACTAGTTTCAATCGTAACCCAAACTCTGCCTCCCACTAATGCTCATCTTCCTCTGCCTCTCTTTATCTTCACCTGCCTCCATCTGTCTTGCCATACCTCTCCCTGTCTTTCCCATCTCATCTTGTCCTTCTGTCTCCTGCTCTCTCCTTACATCCCAAGCATGCCACCGCCTCCTTTTGCCTGGTCTTCCTCCGCCTCTCTCAATCTTCACCTCCCGTCCCCTGCCTATCCTCGTTTTCCCTGCGTCTAATTGTCCTCCTCGAGCCCCTGCTGCCTCTGTCGATTTGCCCGTGTACTTTGCTGAGGATGTCTCCAGCGATGTCCTGCAGGAGGGCGTCCGTGTTGCTGGCCGAGCCACCCTTGCGCCCGCCGCCCTGCGTGAGGACGAGCGAGTCGAAGAGCGTCCGCGTCTGCTGCAGGTCCTTGGAGACGTCCACGTTCTCGTGCATCCCAAACACCTCGGGCTGCTGAGCGAATGGCAGCTTCTGCTCCGAGTGACAGCATGGGAGTAGGGGGGGGGGGAAGCATGGCGTGGGGAAGATACAGCACGGACGATTTAGAGTTTTGAGACACTGTGTTGATGAATGGAAAGCGTTGGGTTGCTCTTCAAGAGGGTATGAAAGTTTGGCAGTGGGAGGCATTGAAAGGCAGCTGAAGGTAGTTATGGAAGAGAGAGGCAAAGGGTGGCACAAGGATGTAAGGGACTAGGTGGAGAGACAGTCGAATGTAGGTGGAGACAGAGGGAAAAGATAATGAAGAAGTTAATGGATGTACAGCGGTGGGAGACAAGAGGTAAAGGGGTAATGGGAAGTAGAGAGAGGTGGTGGAGAGCACATCATGCAAGAAGAGATAGAAGGCAGAGATAAGTCTATGAAGACAAGGAAAGGCAGTGGAATGCAGTTGAATGTAGAGATAGATAGGCAAACCCAGTGCACACTACTAGAAGCAGGTAAATAAAGATAGGCAACAGTGAGGTATGGAAATTTGAGCAAAGGCAGGGAGTGGAAGCAGTAGATGGATGCAAGCATAGGCAGTGCGAGGCAATGGGAGGTAGTGGAAGGCAGAGCGAGAAAGAGATGGCAGTGGGAGAGATTGAGAGGCATTGGGAGGTGAAGGGATACAGAGGGAGGCAGTGGAAGTCAGGGGGAGTGAAGTGGGAGGAATAGCAAGAAGAGTTGGTGTGATAAACAGAGAGAGAAAACACAGCAGTGGGCAGCAAGAGAAGGCAGATATAGACAAGGATGTAGAAGAGGGAATCAATGAGAAGTGATTAAATGGAGGGGAATCAGTGTCAGATAGTAGAAGGAACATTAAGCCAGGCAGACGAATAAAATAGCAAGGAGAGTAAACAGTGGGTGGCAGAGAGACACAGGGAGAAGTGTTGAGGTTGCTACAGATGGCAACACCTTTATGAACTCAATGCAGTCTTCGTAGGTGCCCCTGGGTGGCGCGCGGTAGAGGCCGCTGGGCGAGAAGTTGTAGTGGGCGTCCTCCAGCAGTTGCGGCGAGTAGAAGTCCTGCAGGACGGTGAGCAGGCAGCGGCGGTCCCAATCGTCTGTGACGCGCCCGCCATAGTTGCACTCGCCCGTCAGGTAAGAGATGGCCTCGAAGGGCACGTGCTCGTACTCCGTCACAAAGAGCTGTGGCAAACGCAGACACATACACGAGCATGATTACACGGCCACCTCCTGCGATCGTCTTTCAAAACCCTCTTGCACCATCCGGTCAGCTCATATCCTTACCTGCAGCTGACGTATGCTGATGCGCAGGTCGGATTCGTTGAAGCCGTATGGGATGTTCCAGCCGAGGGGTCCAAACTTTCTGCGCTCCTGCACCAGCCCGTGGAAGAAGCACACGCCGAACAGCAGCTTCTGCCACACCTGCAAGGGACAGAGATCCGTGCAGCACCGTCAGTGTGTTCCCAGGAGCAGTGAGGAATCGGGTGTTGATGAGAAAATTGCAAGGGTGCAGACATATACACACACAAATTATTACCTGTTTAGCCTACAGCCTATAAGTAGTGTTAGCGAGCACCTATTAAGGCCGCCAAGGGGCGTGTGGCGAGTACCATGGCCTTTGCCTCTCCAGTACTGATGCTGTCACGCTGCCCCAGATAGTCATCTTAAGGATGAATCAGAGAGTCAAGAAAAGATTCAGATACAACCAATCACAGGTGTTATCCATGGCTAGGAATTGAACCCGAGTTGTATAATTCCTAGTACAGTGTGCTATACATTGTGCCAGTCACCACTCACACCGACACACAAACCACACAGAGACAGCAAATGGGCTTCCTTGGATAAATAGATGACGTCAATGTATGTATTCTCGGTTAGTGAACCTGCAATTAAAACCTTGGACCTCGGCATTGATGATTCAGTTGTCTGATAATAAAGCACTACCATTTATTTGGCTTAGCACCCCGTCAGCACAAGTCCCCGTAAAAGTTCATGTTGCTGTAGGTGAGCTCACGTGCTCTTTTCCAGGACAGCTGTTGAAGAAGTCAGGGTCTGAGATGGGATCGCTGAGGTACGACTGCAGCAGATTCATGCGCAATCCGGTCGGAGGCTCGTTGGTCATCTTGACCCCGTTCTGCAGGATGCTCACGGGAAACTGGACACACAGATACATTTAAATGTACGTGCACATACAAGTCAATACACGGATTACCCATTTAGCCTCATAGAGCATAGTAATACCTACTCATGGAGGCAAATCTCTTGAGTCCTGATTCTCACACAACGCAAAAGGTATGCATTTAAGGCTCAGTCAACCAAAGGGAGGCCCAGAAGAGATTCAGATAACACTCGCCAATGATAATACCAATGGCCGGTAATACAAGTCAAGTCAAGCAGTTTGTAGGAGAATGTGATAGCTACTGCGCTGCCACTCCCACAATCGCACACAAACACACGGGATTAGCCTTGTTATGCTCGCGAGAATGTCATGGTACGTGTTGGCATATGCCGTGGTGGGTTTGTCACAACTACAGAAAAATGCATACTCAGCTGCTTTCGTCTCCATAGTGCAGGTATTTCCAACTGCACTGGGCATTCATTCATTTAGATTGAGTTTCTCTCGAGGGGGGCCATGTATTGTACCAACACTGAGAGACATGTTATGTTCATGACCACATTATACAATACTGGAAAAAAGGTCTGATTCATATAGAAATGTTGGACTTCGTTCTGACACTTATTTCTGTAAGCTCAATAGGTCAATAACTCAACACAGTCATCACCATTAATGCTCCAATACGTTGCTTTCTTCTGTCAGATTCCACAACTGTCGCACAGTCGACAAGCGACTTCCAAAGTATTTGTTTACAGTAACCCATCATCTAATTATAGGCCTTCCCCATGGGTGCCAACCTCTGAGTGCCACTCCAATGCCTGTCTCAATAACTTGCCCTCCTCCATCCTGTGCAGATTCTTCACCCATCAACACCTACTCTGCCGGGGTTACATCTATGACGCTCTATTTCCACGTTCTGTTCCGAACTGCCAAGTTGCCACGTAACTCTTAGCATCCTCGACATGCACGTACACTCAAGACAAAGGTTGCACAAACGAGCTCACAATGGTTCAATGTGGTTCTGTGGCTATTGGAGCCTGAACAGAGAGCCTGTTTGATGGAATGGTCCTTAATCTCACTCATTTCCAGGTCAAGGTGCCTCAGTGCGCTGACATATCGTATTCTTTTATCAAGGGCCCACTGTGTGCTTAATTCACAAGGCACATAAATAATTAGCTGTCTTGCCACTCCTTGGGAGATGACAGGGGCAAATCGTGTGTCTTCCTATATTATTTATTCCCTTTTCAGTAGAGTCATTTCATCATTGTCATCAACAACATCAATGTCAACAGCAGCAACAATTCGGTGGAATTATATTATCCACAACCAAATAATCTATTTTTCACTGAGAAATTCCTGTGAGAACACGCTGCTCAATAATCATAACGCGCTAATGTGAAAGGCGGTTCTGTTGCATTGCACCGTGGAAAATAGCCACAATGCCATGTACACTTTCTAGTGTGCACATACACAGAGCAGCCAGACATGACCACCAGCTTAATCTAAACAAAATAAAAGTGCTATTCTTTTTGTCTTCCCATGTTAAAGTCACCATTTCAGTAGCATGTGAATTTCACCTGTATGAGGTATTGATAGTATCGCATATCCCTGCTGCCTTACCATCGCCTTGGGTGTGTTTGGCTGTTAGACATAATGGCCATCTCCATACCACGTGATTTTTAGTCACACAGGCACACTAGCAGAGCGCATTTGTAAGTAGGGCTTAAACAAATAGCACGAATACTTGTATTGTTGACATGTTCTCCTGAACCAATGTATAATTCTGAGAAGAATGTAAATCAGTTATTATTCACCTGTTGAAGTTATGTACCTAGCTATGACTTCATTAAAATCCAACATCAAAGTGTCTGCTCACTCAGATGAGCAGTGTCCGAATTTCTGATCCATGTTGGCCCTGACACAGTTGTGTCAATTCCACATTCCTACGATGAGAATCAGTCTCTGCAAAGGACAACTGTTGCTGAATAAGCAAACAGCAATACTCATTGATTGATTTGACTCCCGACCGGGATTTGAACTCACAACCTTCATACTGTGAATTTGGTACCACCCGGCCAGCAAGTGGTTCAAAATTTAGACCAAATTGTGTCCTATTCTACAGGGCCAATGTCAAAACTTCTCAACACAATTGATGTATCTACTGTGTTTCTACCAGGATGCGAAGAATTGTTTGGCAGGATAGAGTAGACAAGTTGAACGTTTACAAGAGACTGTAGCAGCAAGGGACTCTAGAAATAACCAGGCAAGCAAGGCATGTCTTCAGTCGGGCAGGTTACTGAGGCAGCCATTGGAGTGGCACCCAATGGTCAGTGACCAAGAGGAAGACCTCGAGCCAGATGGTGGTGATGCTGTTGTAAGAGTGGTCTGTGTAACGAGGGAAAGACGTCAAGCCAGGCGGTGGAATACATGTGAGGTGTTGTACCCGCAGCAGTCACGGTCGTGATAACCTCATACAATAACATTAACTTTTGATTTTCACCAGCTCGGTTATTTAATGTGCACAAGAGCAACGCTTTGGCCATGTGCACACTGTTGTGGTCGGCACCTTGTCCGACGGGTAGCTGGTGAGCCACAGCCGGAAGTCTGGATGGCAGTTGTCAGGGCTCAGATCTTCGCAGATCTTCTCAAGCGAGGGCATCCACGACACGGCCAGGTGGCAGTTCTGCAGGCACACCCACTTGCCCGTCCGCATGGCTGCTTCAATCATGCGCGCCGCCACGGGGCCCTGACCCTGGCCCAGGGAGATGGCGTTGAACTTGTCTCCCCCATAGTTGCGGTCGTTGGCAAACTTGAGCAAGCCTGTGGGTGGGTGGAGGATGGTGTGAGCCAATATATGTTAATTTAATGATTGCAATTGATTGGCCACCCAATGATTGCAAAAAAAAGTCTTCGGATTAAATTATATCTCTCAGGACTAAATATTTGTATTGCTTCAAAATATGACAAACACCCCTAAATGAATGAATTTCAAAATTGTATTGGTTCCAACTCCCTCCAAGTAATGTTACTAAATGAGGGGTACTCATCATTGGCAAAAGTCCACTCTCAGTAAAGACTCCAGTCTAATTAAGGCTCCTAAACCCTAATGTTACACCGGTAAACTGTAAGCAAAACCTTGGAGTTGTCGTTGACCCTAAGCTCTTGATATCTTCATGCATATCTCAACTCTGAAAAACCTCAAACCTATATCTGCGCAAAATCTCCCACATTCTCCATTTCCTCACTCAGCTGCCACCAGCACTCCCACAATAAATGTCCTTTTTGACGTCTTAGTCTCTCTTTTTACTGACACTGGTCTCCATGCCCAGTGGGCGTAATCACATGCTGCCCACGTGCGTGTGTGCCGGAAGCACTCACTGGCCATGGGGTCAGCGCCGGGCGAGAGCACGAAGACGAGGGGGATGGCGGCATTAGAGTCAGCGTAGCTCTTCACCAGGTCAAATGGGGGCGGCTCCACAAACTTCTTGCCCAGCTTGTCCGTCACAAAGCTCGTGATGGCCGGCACGACCTGTTGGAGGGGTCGGCGGAGATACAGCGACAAGGAAGGATAATGGCACCATTATCATTAACGCTGCCATATAACGTAAAAGTATATCGTACATGGTGTTGTGAGTAATGGTCCTTCTGCATAGCAGGGCAAGAGTGGTGAGATATCAGGTGTGTTTGGTGAGGGTGTTTGGTGAGGGTCAGGTGGGTGACTGGCAGTGATGTCAGGTGAGTATCTTGTGACAGTGTCAAGTGGTGAGTAGTGTCAGGTGTCTGGTGAGTGTTGAGAGTGGCCAACGGAGGAGGGATGGAGGATGAAGGAGGGTAGGTTAAGGAGAGAAGCATTGGAGCGACTTCCAGAGATTAGCAACCAAATAGAAAACCTAAAGTCAGATGGTGGATAACTGTCAGGAGGCACATTGGAGGATGGGTGTCAACTGTGAACGGCTTTAGGATCTAGCATAAGGAAGCAATGGAAAAGTGTGGTTGGACCAACGGCATTGGCCTTAATGACCTCTTATCCTCAATCTACTACGTGGAAGGGCTATTGCTGAAAACATTCTGTTATAAACATTGAGTGAGCTCTTCCCTAGTTATGTATGAAGGATTTGATTGATTGAATGCCAATGCAGGTGCGTGTCCACTGCAAGCGGCGGTAATGGATCAGAGAGCCTGCCTTGTCTGGGCGGAGGCACCGGATGACGATCATCTTCTGGAAGATGTTGAGCTTTGTGTCCCAAGGCTGTGGGAAGGGTGCATTGTGCGGAGTTTTGCTCTCGTATATCGCTCGCCACTGCTCCATTGCACTCTCAAAGTGCTCCCTGCAAAGAACATGGACATTATATCATCAACACCATCAACACCATCAATGGCATTTACTTTAATGTTTTACAAAACCTATTTCAAACAAATCTCAACGCACTTACTCACACAATAAAAATGCTAGTGCTGCCTCTTGCTCATGATGATGATGACGAAGCAACTGATTTTGCTACTGTTGGTGCTCTTGCAGGTGCTACTGATACTGCTGCTGCTGTGCCTGCTGCAGCAGCTGTACTTCCTCATCCAGCTGATGATCACGAAGATGATGCTTTTCATTATGATGACGATGATCTTCTTATGACAAATGCACAATGCTGAGAATAACGACGTGTATAATGCTGCTACAATCACTGCTGGTGCTGACCTGAAGCCCTGGAAGCTGGGATTGTCGCTCATGCGACATATCTCGTCCCAGCTGCGGTCCAGAAGCCAAGTGGGGTCAGGGTTGTTGCGCTTGTTCTCCAGCCCCACTCCCCCCGTGAGCAGGAAGAGGAACTCCTGCATGTCCAGCTCTTTACGAGCACTGGGGGCACAGCACTCTCCATGTCACTGGGGTGCCACGGTGGCAAGATGTTAACTACCTCGCCCGGTATACAGGAGGTTGTGGGTTCGATCCCGACCCTGACACCTGTATATTTGGGGTTTGCATCATTGATGAGATTCGTCGCGTCGACAGCTCAGCCCAAGTCCAGGCTCAGCCCTGTTTTGCCTACGTGATCGAGTGCACTCCAGGTGATTAGTCGCAGGCACTTACATACCAGCAGCCTTTGTGAACTATCATGTAGCAAACTGGCTCAGTGGTGGCAAACACACCAACTGGCAGGCTACCCATCCAACCTGAACAAAACAACGCAATCGACTGAGATCTTTCCGGTTCATTGAGACGCTCGCCCGTGGCGTGATCACGACTCACATGAGAAGATTAGCACAGAGCACGAAGGAGAAGAGCAGCTTGTCCTTCTCAAACAGCGAGCGGCACACGTTGCAGTAGAGGTTGTAGGTGAAGTGGTCGTTGAGGTATCGCAGGCGCTTGTCCAGAAGCTTGGACTTGTTGCTGAAACAGCATGGGCGGCACACACGTGGATATAAGACCTAGTTAAAAACACGTCCATGTAAACCTAGTCGTTTGAGCTACAATGAAGTCTCAATAGGTCAATCATGCCTCACCAGTTCACCAGTCGATCATTTTACACAATAATAATGTATTAGTCGTTTATAAAAAGGTCATGATTTTAAATCCCAGTCAGGGGTTGACTATAATCGCTTCATGATCAATAAAAATTTAGTATCACTTTGTGGAAAACAACTAATGTTATCATTCTCCCTTCACAATCTCGTATAACACTGCCCCAAATCAAGAAGCATATCTACTCTCATCTAATAAATATATTTATTCTGTCCCTCTGTCACCGGCTGCTTTGAATTACCGGCCTTAGGGGCTCTTCTAATGAGTCTCCGTTTATAAAAGTCACCACCAAATACAATTAGTTCACCTGTCCAGGATGGAGATGATGTAGAGGTTGGTGAACCAAGCCAGGGAGTACTGGTACATGGGGTCAATATTGGCCAGGTCAGCAATGCTGAAGAACAGGACAGCAGAGTGGCGAGCGATGGGTCTGTAGCCCTCCCGAGACTCTGCAAGCTTGAGTTCTGTCCTCTCCGCAACCTGAAGTAATGATATGTACACGCTGTTATTGCACTATACGGTTGCACGAGGAAACCTTAACACGAACCCACAGGCACCACACAAATCCATACCCTCAACACGTGCCCACAATCTCAACACTAACCCATAGCCTCATTACTTACACACAGCTCAAGCATGAACCCACAGCCTCAACACTAAACCACGGTATGTACTGTATGTACGTTGAACTTCTTTCGCACCGTAAGTAGCCATAATAGTACATAACTCCCACAACTCATCACTAACCCAAAGCTTCAACACAAGCCCACAGCAGCCTTAACATCAGCACGCAGCCATGGAGAAGTACTTTCACCTCCATCGCAAAATAAGAATCCGTTTATCCAGGCCAGAAAAACACATGTGGTAAATTTTGGTGCTCAGTACAGAGCTCATTGCATGTGAAAGAAAACCAACAGTTGCAACACCTCATCCTGTACACATAGGCCGGGATGTGAAAAGTGAGCGAGCAAATTTCACTATAGTAAGACGGCTTGAATCGACACTGTTTTGATGATGCAATATAATAGCACACGACAGTTTAAGCACAACCCTCCTCTCCACCTGCTGCTTTTTTGTGATCTCGTTGGACATGACTTTGGCCGAATCGAGGATGGTGATCGCCGACTCGTCCTCCAGGATGTTTCCCTGTGACGACTGCAGCGTCTCTAGGATCTGATCTTCGATGTCCTTCAGCTGCTTCTTGTTGGCAGCCGACTGCAGGATCAGTGCGTTCCTCTCCTCCTCCAGCTCCGGTCTACAGAGAAGACACACACACGCGCATGCGACCCCATTCACTACTGTGTGGATTGCACTCACAAGTTAGTGAGCATCTCATAAGGCTGGCATTGCCAAATAGGGTATGGTCTAGCTTCCTCTTCTTTATGGCCTTGCTCCCGCTTATCTTTCATCTCCCATTTCTCCTTGTGCTCCATCTAGACCCCTTCGCTCACAGCCTCGAGTTGCTGATCACACCAAAGACGAAAAATATGAATGCTGGCAGGCATGCTTTCTCTCTGGCAGCCCCTTCTGTGTGGAATGCACTGCCATTGCACACGCATCAGATCAGTCCCCTGTCAATTTTCAATTCACACTGTAGAACTTTCTTGTTAGCTGCTGACTATGACTGATATGTGCTGGGGTTTCGTGATGTTCAGCCTTTTATGTGCTATTTCCATGGATGATGCTGTGTGGAATAAAACTATTGTTAAAGTCTTTATTCTTTTTTGGGACTTTTTCTGATGTCAGAGTATTAAGTGGTTCCTGACGCCCTACCAGGTAAGTAACACAATTATCCACAATGATTGTTGTATAATTAGAACTATGAAAATATTTAAAGTTCGATTGTAAAAGAATCCTGTTAAAGTCAGCTGTTGACTTCATGACAACTGATAATTTATTAGCAGGAAGGAAGCAATGGTGAGGTGCAGAGGCACAAACTCATTGGTTAGATGACCTTGACTAGATAAAACACTCAGACAAATGTGTTTACTTGGCAGCGGGACACGTCCTTCTCCTCACCTCTCCTTGGCAACGACAATGCCCAGCAGCTGGTCCTCCAGGCCCTCCGGGGTGATCATGAAGTTGAGCAGCGACACCTTGGTGGCGAGCTCGGGCAGGTAGTGAGGGTTGCGCAGCTTGCTTGTCATGTAGAAGCGGAAGTCGCTTGAGTACTCGATGATGCTCTCGCCCAGGCGGATGCAGTCCACGCCGCCTGTGCATATGCACAGCCACAGGTTTTCACGTCAGCTGCTTTGCACACACCAATAAAATAGCACTTCAAAGATGGGCTTGATGGATCACCACGTCCTGTGAGACTCCGAAATTGCCACGCTGCGAGGTGACTATGAGACAGTGCAAATGGATTTCTGACTTTTGCGTGCCTCTTGACGGGCTTTCCTCTCATATTTACAGTCTATCTTCATTAACTCAAGTTTCCTCCCTCACACGAGTATCTTACAGCACCCCCACCTTGTTTGAAGGTCTGCTTGAGCAGCAGCGGTTCGAGCGAGGGGTCCAGCTCCTGTCCCACATTCTCCAGCAGCGCGGGCGTCCCGAACTGGATGCAGTTCTCCAGACTGCGCATGTAGTCGCCATCTGTGAGCTTGATGACCGTCAGCTTATTGTCACGCTCCGAGTTCTTCACCCACTTGTTTGCCTGGCCTTGGGGGTCAATCATGAGAGGCCTGGCAGGATAGAAGGGGCAAAAGTGCAATCTTCTTCTGTGGTATGGAAATAGCAACATTTACAAGGGTAGGTATCAAGTTTAGATTGCCCGTCAAAAAACATCATCGCATGCGGAATTAACTTTTGTCGTCTCACCGAGAAGTGAATACAAGGGACGACTGCTCATGATACGTTAAAATGTCTGAATTTTGCCATCGTTTCAGTGTTGATTGTCTTTAATCGCCACTTGTGCGTCAGACGTCCACATCGTCCACGGGAGGTCCTGGTGCGAATTATGATTGCCCACTGCCGCCAGGATCGTATGAAGCAACGTGGTTTGGCAGTCAAGCGGTACATTTAGAGGGTTTTGGTCTCCACATTGCTTCAAGTCTGGATATCCACAATAGCTAAATGTTGCCATCTATTTTGCAATACGTTAGTTACACGGTCATTGATAAGTACTTATACCCCATTGCTCGTTGAAGAAAGGCGATAATTTAACTTTTGAAAATTATCATTGATCAAAAATCATGATATCATAATAGTCAAATTCATTTATGTTACCATGTACATCTCATCTCAAGCATTCCAACACCCTGCTGTTGTTTTTCAGTTTAATTATCTGACCTAGAGGACCTCCCGATGCCAGCTGTCCCTGTGCAACACACGGTGACGCAGTACTGGCGTCTGTCAGTAGGAGGGCGATATTGCTCATGGTAATCCCGATTAAGTAATTTTCGTGTAATAGGAAAAAACTGGCAAATTTAAACCACAATGAGTCTTCCACGAGTTGCCAGGTGTTTACGCCTCAGGGGCTGAGTGCGATTGGAGGCAGGGGAAGGCACCAGCGTCTGGAGTTGTCAACGATGACGCCGTTGTCGATGGAGAAGTTGTCCGTGGGCAGCCCCGCAATGTTCCACGCGCGGATCTTGATGGGCTCCCCCAGTGTCTTGCTCAGTGAGAAGTCATTGGAGCATGGGATCTTCTTCTCCTGCAAGAGGTTTCACTTGTCTCATTCAAAGAAAATTCAATGTGTCCCAGGTCAACAGATATGGTGAACTCATCGCTGTTGGTGGCCCTCAGTCAGTTCTAGAAATTTCACAACTCTCTGGTGGGTGACAATCATTACGTAGGACAAACAAAGTGGTATTCACTTTGTTGACCCCTGAAGGACGAAGGGATGAGTTAAGCCCCAACCAGGAATTCAACTTAAAAACCTTTTCGGTTTGAGGCGAGTGCTGTAACCACATGGCATGCCATCCATATTCACCAGCTGCAAATTCCACTACTCATCCAGCTCAGTGATTCTGTGCTCTAGAACCAGACTCAATCATAAGTTTTGTCAGTTGAAATCCTGCTCAGGGGTCAACTCAGCCCATCATCCCTAAAGTATTATAAAATAAATAGTACCACTTTGTGGGATATTAACAGGAAAACTAGGCCCTGCTACATACATTTTAACCACTAGCTCAAGATCACCGACGAGATGAATCACCACCCATTAGGTTTTCGAATAGGAGTTTGTTTGGCTAAATAAACGACTGACTGATTGACTGATTGGTTGAATGCTTGATTGACTGAACAGTTGACTGACTGACTGAATCAACGTCCGACTAATGAGCTGACTGAGTGACGAGGCTGCACCTTGCAGATCTGGGTCCAGCGACGCGTGCAGTCTTGTCGGAAGGCGGCAGTAAAGGCCCCGAGGTAGGCGATGACCCCGGATGAGATGAGCACGTCCCCCGTGAGGTTGTCGTACGTGTTCTGTAGGTCCTCCGCCGCTTTAGACCACCTGCACAAGAGTCAGAGTCCAGCAGTCAGGCGTGGTGACACACTATGAAACCTCTTTAACACGTGCAGAGACTGAATCAAACATTAAATTAAATAGCATGAACTACATCACTGTCGAGGATGCTGCCATGATGTAATGGTGAGCGCACTGGACTACCATCCAGAAGTCACACGTTTGATCTCCACATGCGGCAGTTCAAAAAAGGGGCAAGTTTCTTAAATCCCCGCCGCACCTCTCCACCCAGCATTAAAATGGGTACACTGGATTTGATGTTTTCGGTAGGTCGCATATGGTGGGGTATGGTGTGCATACTCCTACCTCTTCCAGAAGCTGACCAGCATGACAAAGTAGGCCCAATACCCACGAATGCCAGGAGTGGCAAATGCAAGGGCAGCATCTTTAAATTGTATGTAGAGCAATAACACGGTCTCATCCAGGTCACTCATTGCTTTCTTTGTCAGCCACAGACTCCTCCATCACCACCCCCCTCCCCCATACTGTCCTCTAAGCACCTGGACTTCTCCCCGCCGAGCCCTCCTATGAGCTTCTCCGCCCGCTCCAGCTTCTTGGCGCAGAGGTCCACCTGGAACTCCAGGCGCACCTTCTCCTCCGTTTTTTCGTCGAAGGTCTTCTGCAACGCGGCAAGTCGGTCCTCCACCTCCTTGAGCTCGGCTCGCTTCCTCTCCAGCAGCGCCATCGTCTGGGCGAGCGACTGCTCGGCCTCGGCCAAACGAATTTTCTTGGGCGCCACAACCTGCGGTGGAATTATAGTTCTTGTGACTATCTTGCTACGTAAAATTAATCTTAGCTAATAAGACGTAAGGCTCAGGGCTAGCAGGCTAAGGAAGTGACGTAGCGGTGATGGGCACTCGGTGCCTGCGCTGAAACCTTCTCTCTGCATCACATTCCCTGGCCCTGCAGGAATCACTAAAGTTATGACTAACTTAACACAAGTGGATGGCAGCATCTATGGCAAAAACATTTCAAATAAACTCAAGACTTAGTCAACTTCGTTAAGATTGTAATTGTCAATACAGCGCAAAATTGCACATGATTGCATTTGAGTGACTTAAATAGCCGAGTAAAACACGTGTGTTGTGAAACTTCTTTTGTCTGCACTAAAGTGGAGGAAACCTCTGGTTAATCATGAATAACCATCGTTTTCTTCCGATGATTGAATCATTCTCATTTAGGCCATGCCCTAACGCAATATCACGAGGCTCTACTGGTCGAAAATGTTTGATTTATTTGGCTCAGGACGTGACTATGATGACAGATCAACAGATATAACTATGAAAAATAAAACTATACCTTCGCCACCCTGTCATACACCTCCATAGCCAGGATCCACTTGCAAAGGCCCTCAGCAGCAGAGGAGGCCTTAACCACCTTAGCTGGATCAAAGTCAGGGTTGGTGATGTATTCTGTACGGATCTTCTGCATGACTGCCACCTTCACACACACACACATAAAAAGATCCGCTATTCAGTCTTACAGATCAGTGCTGCACAACTGGTGTGACTGAGGAAAAGTCACAAGTGTGCCGTGGTATTCTTTAATTGATCAAAAGACACACAGACAATGAAATAAAGAAATTAACAGACAAACAAATGGATATACAGACATCAACATAAAACAATTAAATAGACATTCAAATGAACACAGTAGACATACACAGAAATCCAAATAAAACTATGAAATAGATGAACGGATGGCCATCCAAACAATTACCAATGATCCAGGCAAACACATACGTACACACACACACTGACTGACAAACACAAAACACCCCCCTCCTAGTTAACTGGCGGAGCCAGTGCTCCAGACGAGCCATTAAACCGGAGCCTCACACACCTGTGGTTTTAATTGAGTCGCGACAGAACCTGGGAAACGAGCAGTGATTGAGGGGAGAGCAACACACATGATTGTGTAAATTCCACGTTTCCATGACAACTTCAAGTATTTCCCGTAGCAGCATATCACTTGAGAAATAGATGCGCGTGTGCACAATCCACTGCTGGATGAAGGGCCCACGGTGTGTTTTGATTCAGTGTGCCGTGATAATAGAGCAAGCTTGAAAGTGTGCCGTGGAATTAAAGATGTCGAAAAGCACTGTTATATTTCAAAAGGGCGAGAATTATTTGTGAACACCTATTAACCCTGATGCATAATATGCTGGATGGTGTGGCTGTTGCCAAGCCCAACTGTTTAGGTATTCGTAGCATAAATATTAATGCACTATGTCTCGTAATCACTTCAAAGTGAGTCTACAAAAGCGAGACTCGGGGCATATTCCAAAGAGCACGTACCACTGAAGTATATGGCCAGTCGTTGAACCTAATTCCCCATTTCCACTGACACATTCCAGACGTGCCAGTAAGGGGCCATCAGAAAATATGGATAATTTTCCATTGGCTATTTTCTGAGTCAAGCCAGAGCTTAACCATGAAACTCTGGCCTCACAAGACATTTGAATCTGACTTAGGGCCAAACAGGGGTTAATACGATTAACTATGAAACAAAGGGAGAAACCATTTTGTCAGAAGTCTTTGACCTATAAAGATACCGTTCCTAGTAATGAAAATGTAGACATTCCACTTATAGCCCAGGGCGACCAATGAAGAGTGGAAAACAGTGGTCATTTTCATAAAGAGACAGGACATTTTGACTTTGATCGCCAAAACTCAACGTTCACTTTAAATTTGGTCCAAGACTTACCAAGCGCCTCCCAGCTTAACAAACGTGGGACTATGCTTGTTTTTGTACAAGGCCTTCATGGAAAGTCCACATTGCTATGGCAAGGATTACTCATTCCATGACAACCTACTACAAATGAAAGTGAGTTTCAAAAGTGGAACAAGCACTCTACACATACAACAGAGGTATATGGAATGTAAAACGCGTTACATAACTGGAACACAACATGCGATGGCAGTCTTACCGGGATGTTGTCCTTATCGTATTCCTTCAGCATACCCAGGAAGTTCATGTCTCCAAGAAGTCTTTTGCTTGGTCCCCAGAAGTCCCACACCTAAGCAACAAACATCATCACGACTACCACCACCAGTGTCCATACAATCACCATAATAGACATGATCACCACCAACAATAGCGTGAAATAGGAAGTGACAGAAAAATGTTGTATATGTCATTGGGAAGCGGAAGTCATGATGTGTGGGGTTTGCATGCAGGATAAAGGAAGGCAAGTTACCTAGACAGGCATTTTTAATACGTTTACAAAAGCAGTCCTCAGAGATTCGGTGTCTACTGAGTAATAATGAGAAGACCTAAATCAAGGTGGTAGTGAGGAGACTTTATGAGCAGACCTTGGAGCTTGGGCGTTAACTGTGCAACAACTTAGAAAGCTAGTGGAAGGCATGCAAAGCACATTGGCATCAATGTCTTTGGTCTTGATGACCTTTTGATGTTGACCATGACAATCGAGAAAATGCACGGAAACATTGGCCCCTCGGCTGGACGCCAGAGTCACCTTCTGCCCAGGGTTGCTGGGGTCGTTCACTTTCTCGGGTTTGATTTCCTTCATGACGCACACGGCCGACATCACCAACTTCACGCCGGCTGGGGGGTTCTTCATGGACTTCACGATGGTGATGTCTGACGGCTGGGATAGGAGGCAGACAGCACAGATCCATTGCACGCACTCTCATTACTAACTGGGCATCGACATGCTGCTCCAGGTTTGGTCATCATGGCAGTCATCTGGAACCTTCAGGGAGGTTCTCCTCAACATTCTCTGGCACAACGTCCTTCTACTGACATCTGCAGACGCCTTTGTCAACATGAAACACCTGTAAAACTGTCATTAGGAGTGTTAGAAAGAGGTTCCTCGGGATTGAGATATCGTATTGGCCGGTTATGATTAAGGATATGGTAAGAGTTTCCTTGTTATGGTAAAGGTAAGATTAGGGGTTGTAGTGTTATAGTAGGGGCTAAGTTTGGTGGATGATAGGTTATCCTAATGATGAAGTTTGGTTTAATTAGGTAAGGGCTAGGGTTATGATTAGAGCAAGATTTTGCTTCCGTGGGTATACAGCTGGGGTTAGGGGATATCAATGGCGATGTTTTAATATTAAAACGTCCTGAGTTTTTGGTTTGATGGCAACCGCTTGTGATGCGATCGGAACGTCATGAGTTTTTGGGTTTTAATTTTAATTGTAAAATGGTATTTTCATTTTTTTAATATTATTATTTTCTATCTACGTGACTTTACCGAAATAACCAAATAATATGAATTCCTGCAGTCACAAAAGTTTTAAGTCAAAATTTAAGGGTAGGGGTATTTCATGTTGGGCCTTTCCACTCACACCTTAAAGGTTGTATTACATATGTTGAACTTCTTTCGTACTGTACGTAGACAACCGTGCTCATTGGAGGTGCGGGTTAGGTCCTAGCACGGTGCAGAATGTGCTGTGAGCAGGGTTGCACCTTGAGAGTATTGAGGGCGGAGAGGGCGGCCTCCAGGGCAGGGATTGCCTCGGCGAGCTCGCTCTCACACTCGTCCTTCAGTGCCTGAGCCTCGGACGCCTTCACCGTTGCCACCTCCTCGTCCGCCTTTACCACGCGGCTCTTGGCTTCCACCTCAGCCGACTCCTTCTCAATGACCTGGTGTCATCACGGCGATTAAAGGTATCTCATCATCATAGTCATCAGCAGCAGCATACCACATGCACATCATATCTCCATCATCGCCATTACAGTTGGTGGCCTCTATGGTTAGAATTCGTCACAATCGAAAGGTCATAAGTTAAAAACATGATTGGGAGTTTTCCTTTAATCTGAGATAATACACGGTGTACAAGCCATATAAAAACTGCACCAATTTGTAAAACATCTTATGTGATTCAAGACTGTCTTATCTTAAATTTGATAACAAAATTGTCAAGGTGGGTCTTGTGGTTTGTGGAGAAGAGAGGATTCAAAGGACATATATTTATATGGACCTAAAATGTGTAGTCTCCCCTCAAGGGAGAAATTAACAGGAAATAAAAGTTATGCATACACACGTGGATTGTGTAATGCTTTCCAACATGTGCTTGTCTTTGGAGGTATTTAACGATAATAATGATGTTTCTTCTCCTCACTTATAAGGAGAGCTCTTGATGACCTATCACCAATATGCATGAACTACTTCAAACCAACATCCCCTTGAGATCTGTGAGACCGGAGGACTTGGATCTTCTCACTGGCCTGAGGTCAAAGCTCCGATATCAGTGGAACCGTGCATTTGCGTGCGCTGCACCAAAAATTCGGCACTCTCTGCCAAGAGACATCAGGCATTCTGATTCAGTGAAGGCTTTTAAATCTCTCCAAACGCTTATTTGTTCATTAAAAATATTTGTTTTTTTCCCCTCTATTGTTTTTTTGATGTTGATGACAACGCCGATGCCTTCACTGATTTTGAATGCTTTGAACCTTCAGGTGAAAGGCACTTTATAAATCCCAAATATTGTTATTATTAACCACTTGAATACATTTTCTGTTTTGCTCTAGGGTACGTTGTTTGCCAATATAATTATTCCTGTCCAGTTTCGAATACACATACTGCAAACCTTCATCATGCTGGCATTCTCAATCTTGGCTTTTTCCAGCTGAGGCTGCAGATCCATCAGCTCCTTCTTCATCTCAGAAACCTAATGGCAACAGGGTGGGCAAAGTCATGAGTATTAGCAACATATCCTTGTCATTAGCAGACCAGACAAGTGACATGAATGAGACATTTGCTCTGCATTGTGTATTCCCAGGTATATGAGGCAGGTTAACACAGAGCAAGCACTGATTAGACATCAAAGGCATTCAAGGTCTACGCTCGTCATCTGCTGAATTTGAAGATTTTTAAAAATATGTGGTGCACCTCTAATTTTTAATGCACACACAAGTACAGTGGTAAACTCAAGCGGACAATAGGTCATCATCGCTCATGTTCTTAAACTCACGTGGTGATCAGGTGACAGTATAGCAAGTTGGTTAATAACCTGTCAGTGTGAAATGTTGCATATCAGCCCCTAGTTTGCATGGCTTTTCTCAGCGGTATAAAATTACCATCGCTCTGGAATATTTTCTTCAAAGAAAAACCACTGCTGACGTCCTACAAAGTCTTCCTCAATGTATCGATCCCAATGGTTTGTCCTCCAATCGAGATTTAAACTCGTTATTTTCATCCTATCTTATCTAGATTTATACAGTGCCTAAATCCAAGGCGCTTTACAGCAATAATAAAAATGGTACACATGATGAAACTGGTTGAGATAAGGAGTGCGGTTTAAAAGTCATGGTGGAGTTATGGTGAAAGTTTGGAGAATAGGTGAGAGAGGTTAAGGAGGGGTTTGGTTATGGCTGGTCGTAGGCTAGGGGGGTGGGGGCAGGGAGTAGCAGCCGGGGTAGTTATTGGGGTAGGGGTGGCGATAGGGGCATTGATAGGGGTAATGCTAGAGGTGGTGATAGGGGAAGTATGTATGTATGTTAAACTTCCTTTGCACCGTACGTAGCCAACCATGCTAATCGGAGGTGTAACAGGGGTAGTGATAAGGTGAGAGAATAGCAGTAGGATGGGCTTGGGAAAAGAGATGGGTTCCTAGGGAGGAGTGGAAACTGGCTAGTGATTTAAGTGCTCTAATCACAGCACTATCTGGGTGGATAACTGCATCAGCGACCCACAAGCAGAACCCGACACTGGTGCTGTTATCGGTTGGTACTGGCCTGGGAGCCGGCAAAAGCGAGCTTGTCCAGCCCGTTCGTGTAGCGCAGCTTGGCCTTCATGACGGCATCGCGCTGCTCCGTCAGCAGCTGCCGGAAGGCGGCGATCAGCTCCAGGTAAGACGTGGGAGTCACGTAGTTGTGCCGGCCCAGCTCCTGTAGGAACCTGCACACAAAATGCAAACCAGGAGATATCAAAGCATCCTTTGCAATTGGGACTTTTGTTTTAAGGGCAAGTAACATGGAAGCCTGGTATAGAATGTGGTAAGACACGTGACCAAGCAGATGAGCTTGCTCATGCACAGGGTGCAAGAGTGCAGGTTACTGAGACAGATTCGGAGTAGTTTCAGTTTTTGATTCCACACAAATTCCCGCACCTCCAATTCGCACGCTTGGCTGAGTACGGTGCAAAAGAAGTTCAACATACATACAACGGACTTACGACTGCGACAGCTCTATAGCCGACGTGTGGAAGAACTTGCAGATCGGCACCACCTCAGTACGCTCGTGATCAGTCAGCTCCAGAGTCTGCAGGAACTTGTTGGCCACCCGTTCCAGGGCATCTTCCGGCCATGGCTGCCAGGAGACACAATGGTAAAGGTTTCATTTTGAACACAGACTGTTCCAGGAAACACAGAGCTGATGGGGTAATCCAGAGAAAACTACAATTAGTTTGGAAAAGTTCAGATGAAATTAAAGTCAACAAAGTCAAGGTAAATTATCAGTATAATACCACAGCTACTATGAGCTAGTGGTGAAAAATCCACATTTCCATGATGGACACCAGTCTCTTAATAACTTTCCATAGTCAAGATTTAACTTTCCATAGAGTGGTACTCATCTTATTAACCCTGGAGAAATAATACACTAAATTGAGCACCAATCGGAATATAAACTGAAAACCTTTTGATGGTGAGTCAAAACAATCCACCAAATGTGCCATGCAACTTGATAACATCACAGATGTTCACACTGTTTGAATTCAAGAGTCTTGTTAATCCTCACATACGGCTGTCAGTTACAATAACTACTCATGACAAAATCTGGTAATAATTCACCTTGTATATAATATACACTACATCACGTGGAGTCAAGGGACATCAACAGCCAGTCACTTGTAGCTGTAGCGACGATGGCCACGGTGCAACGTTGTCTGCACCTGGAACCAGTCAATGGTGCAGCAGTTGATGAGCGAGGGGAACTGGCGCAGGCGTGTGCGGAAGGCGTCCCCGATGGGGCTGAATGCCACCACCACGTGCAGGTTCTCTCGGCAGCGGTTCACAAAGAAGGCGAACAGGGCCAGGGGGCTGAGCTCAACATTCTTGTTGCCGGCCTGAGCCACCGGCCTCACCGCCTGTAAGACCCCCGCACAGGGAGGCCCAGCGGGGACAGTGGTAAAATCAGCAGCAGCGTTAGTGACATTGCGTGGACGAGCATTTGCCGCTTGTTGCCGGGGTTCGTGATGCAAGCCCAGCACCCTCTGTCTCAAAGTGGATGTTAAAGATCACGTGACGCTTTTCAATTAACTGTACGCTGTGTGTGCCAGCTTTCCAATTAAAATCTACCACATTTTTACAAGATGTACTGAATTTTTATTTCATTTAAAAAATTACGTACAAACATCGCCCCCTGCCTGCAGACGACACTGTACATGTCCGTGAAACATAGCACCTTCGTGATAACCGTGCGTTATAAGAATGGTGCCAATACTAGATATACTAATGACTTGCTCACCTTTTTGTTCATCTTCAAAACATGATATGAGTGTTAAAGTTGCAGTGTCTTAGTGCTAAAACTAGCATTGGGGCTGTGCTGATTTCCTTAGGTGGCCCTGAGGGAGTGGTGGCAATTCCACATTACCATGGTGGGAAGTCAGACTCTTTATAAGACAACCACTTTTGTATGATGTGTTTCATCGACTCTTGAATGGGATTTGATCTCACAACCTCCTGACATGGAGTCAAGTGTTTTACTAATTGTACCACCCAGCATTAGAGCCTCATATACCATATCCCAACGCAAGATGTGTATAAACTCTCAATTAACCTAACTCTGCCTAACTCTGCCTCTCTTTGTTGCTGGCTGCTATGCTTTATAAGCCTAGGCCCACTGATTATAATGCAATCAGAGGACCTGATTATAATCAGAGGACATAGGCATTGCAATTTACATCTCAATTTATAAATCACAATTTATATATTGCGATGTAAAACAGATAATATCAACGATCATGTGTAAACAAAGATGAAAAGTGTGGAACATGCTTGGTATAAATCCTTGAATACAGATGGAATGTAAGTGCCAATGAATACACGTGTATAAACAAAATTCGAATTGCATTGTGAATATCTCACAAAAGAAGTACCCACGATGCCACACAGGCCTTTCTGCACACGACCCGCCCCGCACCTCCATGATGTCCTGGCGCTCATCGGCTGCGAAGAGGTTGGGCACCTCGCCCGTGTTTAGGAGGTTATCGATGTCCTCCAGGAAAGACTCCTGCTTGATCTGCGTATCCGTGATGAGGAACACGGTCTTCTGTCCCTTGGCGCCGGCACTCTTCAGCAGGGCCTGGCAAAGGGGAACCCAGCAGCGTGAGTGCGTACAGAGTTGGCCAATTCATCGATCCGCGTGTCCGCTACGCCCGCAATGACCCAGCTGACGGCTTTTAAGGGTTAAAAACAAGATGGAATTTTTTTTATCGATTTAAAATTAATGAAATAAATTTTAAATCGATAAAAAAAATTTAAGCAGGTGTTCATGGGGGAGGGAAAATTTAGGAAACAAAAGTGCATCTTTACAACAATTTTTTAAAGTCCAAAGTTGCCTTCATCTGGCTGTATGAGACTTGAGTATTAAATCTGAACCTTATAAATCTATGGTTACCTTGGTCTACCAGTTAAGAATTAAGATGCAAGAATTTGTTTAACTCAGTTATCATAAGGGTGCCTTTGTTGGGTTTATGAAACTCGGGAATTAGAAAATAATCTCAATCATCTGAACGGTAACCTGCCTGGCTCTATGAGACTAAGGCAAGAGTATTAAATGTCAATAATCATTAGGGTACCTTAGTCTGGTGTTGTGAATCTCATGCATGAACACTGAACGTCTGTAATTCTAAGCGATCTTGAGTGTGGCACTACAACACTCAGGCATTAGCAATGACCTCTAACAGTCCCAAGGTTGCTTTGGTGAGACTCTATGAACCTCACGCATTACCACTGAACCTCTAAAATTCGAAGCACGCTTTAGTGTGACTCTGACTCTCAGGAAACTATCACTTTATGCGCTGGAAGCCCACGGTCTCTGCAAGCAAATAGAAGGCTGAGACCTTGACGTCCTCGCGCCACTCGGTGTGCCCGTAGCTCTTCGAGATTTCTGGCTGGAAGAGCGCCATGCCGGACATCGCCGTGGCGAGTCGTGTGAGCGACTGGCGGCCGCTCCCGCCGACCCCGACGAGCAGCGCGTGGCCCCCAGGCTGCTTGAGCACGCGGCTGATGCGCGACAGGTGCTCCAGGACATAGCTGAAGAGAGGGAGGGAAAGATCTATGTTAATAATGGTTATGATCGTTGCGTTCATATGGAGCTTACACGCCTCAGCACCTCAAAACACCTTGCATCAGACTTCGTCTCAAACACCTGAAGGACACCTCCAGTAGAAGCTCTATCCCTGTGCGATACAAATTGTCCCAGTACTGGTCCGCAAGTCGGCATTCGTCTACCAGTTGTGGCGATTGTTGTTCTGTATCACCCCAAGTGAGTAAATTTTGGCACAATGGCCTGCTCTTTTTAACTAACGTCAAATGATCTGTAACGTCCACTGTGAAGCAGACGATGCATATGTTATGGTTAATACACCAGCAGTAAGCCTCATAATACAGGTTTTTCTGGATTAGATCGCGTAAATGTATGTGTTGTTAAACCTGCCACCACCCGACACAGCCAATTAGTAAGGTTTGTCACGTAAACAGAACATGCCAATTTGTTACTAGTACAGCACACCGGTGTATTGGAGAGCCAAGCCACAACATTTACAATCTGAGTACGACGTTTGGGTGGTGGCGGATTTAACGACACATTTATAGATTTACGCGATCTAACCCAAAAAAAAACTGTATTATGGATGATATTGGTCGCAAAAGCCTAAGTGTTAAACAGAGTAAGCCTCCATTTCATCTGGGGCAAATATAGCGTACGATCCAAAGACTACTATGGGTGCTTTAGTTTAGCTCTATGAAATTGAAGCATTAACGTGGAAAATGATAAGTACTAAAATTGCCAGTGTGGCTATGAACTCTTAGAATCCTTCGTGTGTCAGTGTGACTATATGAGACCCGCTCATTAACAAAACCTCAAAGAGTATAAAGGGTTGTAATATGGTGTTTAACCTTGACAAATATAAGAAAGTCAGACTCCTCTTTTGAGACTCAGACATTTAAACTTTAAGAGTGTTAACACTGCGTGGATTTTTATAGCACTATAACGATTCACCCTTTACCCTTCTACACCCACAATTTAATGAATTGGATCTGCAGTTGTAGCAGCCCTGTCTGCCAGCAGGTCATGTAATAAGCCGGAGAAAGGGATGTGGGGCAAAGGTGATAGAGGGGGCACGTGCGGTAAAGCCGAGGAACCTTCTAGAAGGTTCTAGAAGGGGGGCGTGGCCGAAGGTAGAGCGAGGCCACGCTGGGTGGATAAAAGGGGGACCCCAAGTGAAGATTCGGGGCTTTTGGTTGGAGTGAAACCCATCGTGCTGCTAGAGTCTTCGTCACCATCTTCACCTCCACGGCGTTGTTAGTCAGGCAGCCTGTTAGCTGTCCTGACCATAATGTAGTTACTCCTTGTACCTACGGCTATAATAAATAGAGTGCCTCCTACTATTAGTGTCTCTGAGTTACTCAATACACATGCATTGTTAAATGTGTTTTATGCTAGCTGAGTGTCATTTCCATTGCTAATTAAATAAGTGATAATACTTGGCTAAAGGCCATAAAGTGGGTAATATTTTTGTGAATGTGGACTATAAGTGTATTAAATTATTGGTGTTCAATGTGATGGGTCCTCTGGCAGTATGTCTCTTTGCAAAACTAATTTTTGGAATATCACCACTTCTGAGCCAGAATGTGGTGGATAGATTATTGAAGTTCCATGGGTGGCACATCACATTAATGCATTAACTTTGAGTGAAATTAATCAGATTTTGTATCAAAATATTTACTGGAGGAGTCCGGTGAGCTGTAAAGCTATTTTTGTAAATTAATGTAGAGGTAGACTGGCGGTGCAAGTCCATTCAAAGAGAACAAGGAGGAGAGATATTTTGAACACTTCTAATTTCACGATGAGTTGGAAAATAATCTTGGAAGGGAGAATCAAAAAAAGAGTGGCAGACGACAGCCAAGATAATGTACGGAGAGAAATATCATGAATAGTCCGCAAATGACAATGAGTGAAGCTGAAATATCAGCAGAAGATATGATTCATTTCCAGGAAATTGGCAGGGCTACAACATCTGAGATTAGGCTAAGCAATCTATGATAACAATGCACTATACATATTTTGAACGTCATACTCTATATTAGCTTGGCCAATGTTTAGAAAGCACAGAAAAACTGTGACATTGCAGAGACCTGATATGGTCAAAATAAAGTATCCTTAGAAGATTAATAATCATCAGTTTGACTCTGAACCTTAACAAAATCTTAGAATGTGAATCTGGCTATATGAGAATCAATAACACTCTATATTTATGATCTTCAAACATTAAATGTTGAACATGATCATTGTTTAAGGTTGGCAAATCTGACTAAAAACCCAGAAAATTTTATGGATGTCAATCTGGTTTTCTAAGCTAACACAACCAGGTTGAAGGGACCACTTGCAGCCCTGATGGAGCGACGCTCACCCGAATATCACGAGGTTCATGCGGTTTTTGTGCGTCTGGTTGTACTCCTCCAGGCACTGCTCCACAACGCTGCTGAACTGCTGAACGGAGGGAACCTCTGCGTATAGTCGCTCTTCATCCATGAGGTCAGGGTTCATGTAGTCCCCGAACATTAGCTTGCGCATGTCCTCTTGGCAGAGCTGCATGCAGACAATTCGTCACAGGTGTGAACAATTTGTGTTGACTAAAGAGAATAATATCTGGTGCAAATTTTTTTTTACCTGTCTAATTTAAAGTATCCCACTGCTCAAATTAGCAATGAGTGATCTACAATGAAGGTCCTGGGGGATTGATATAAATTACGTTTCAATGGCACCAGCTGATCTCACCATAGGAAACTATATATGACTTTGCACAGAGTGGTACTCATATATCTTTGTCTTGTGCGAGCCTGGACATCGTGTGTGTTGCTTGCACGTGCGCACAGCTGCTCCCACTCACGGGCCGCCCCTCCTCCTTGAGGTTCTCAAAGACGGCATCGAAGCTCTCCTTGAAGTGGTCGCGCAGGAGGTCGCGGCTCAGGCCATAGAGCCAGCGGCGGTCCTGGTCATCCACCAGGCGGTCGTGGAAGACGCGGTAAACCTCGTGCACGAAGAGGCGCAGCATGGAGCGGCGGCCGTCCGCGGCCTCGCGCCGCAACAGCAGCACGCCCTGGACGACGCGCGAGAAGTCTCGCAGGTTGAACGTGTAGTGCGACTTGGTCGGCGTGGGCAGCAGGTTCTGCATCGCCTTCTTGTACACCTGCATGGGGATGAGGGTGGTGGAAGGCAAGGGGATGACGAGTACGTGATGTGGGCGAGCGGGCACGCGGACGACTGGCAGTTTAAGCGGTCGAACTAGTTAATTCTGCGGGTGTATTAGCCATAACATCATCAGGAATGCTGTATGATGTATAAAGTCATCTCGTGCATAATTAATTTATTTGTACATAACTGTAGTTGAGGCCTAGTGCCCCCAGGACTCGTTTTGCCTTGCTTGGTGTTCTGTGCTTCCCAGGCAAGGGAATCTAGGTGAGACTGGAGCAGGTCCAACTTACTCTAATCATCCATGGCGCGTAATGTTATCAGAATAGGCCACAATGCTTACGCAGTGAACTAAGTGTTTTTTCTGTGAGTTTTGGCTAACCATACTCTTATATAAGCACACAACTTTATATATCTGTGTTGAACGCTGCACTTTCTGTCGTTTTCATGCAGGGGGCACTGCAAACCTATGCGCCCCCTGCATTAACGACTGAGGCGCAGGGACAGACGTTCGATTACATTGGAATTGATCTGCAGACGGCAGTCTTCTGGCACGGCCAGCAGCTCTATGTCACCCTATCTCGATCCCGCAATCCCAAACAGGTGAAAGTCCGCATCGAACCGAACCCCCAGCAAGGCCATCTACTTAACGACGAGGGAAAATTCACACGACATGTCGTTTTCAATTAAGTCTTCCAGATGTAAAATGATATAAGCTTTTAATGAAGAAATAAAATCATCCAATTTAAAACATAATACAATTCAAAGATGTTTCATTTTAAAACTTAAAAACGGAGCATCAGGTGCTTGCGTGAATGCATCGTCCGCGTGCAATTATTTTCGCGACTTTCCTGGCCGAAGGCCATAAATGGTTGTGAGGGGCGCCAAAGGCGCCCCCGAAAAACCCCTAGTTTGATATATTTTTCCATTTTTTTTACCAGGTAAAACCAACACATTTTTATTATAAATTTTATTCCCATAACATCACCCTTACAGTGAGCATGAGCCACACTACAAAAGGAAGACACATGGACCTAACGCATTAACAAACAGATAAACAGACTCAGGGATAACAACCAAGTGAAAAGTCTGGTGAAAATGCAATAGCACTCATCTGCATTGGTCGAATAGAGTGGCTTAAATTCCACATTCCCATGGTGGGGGGCCAGTAACTCTATGAACCGAGCACCCATGGTATTACCTCCCCGCAGGGTGATACTAAAGGATCCGTACCTCCAGGGTGGCGCTGACGATCTGGTTCCCGACAGTGAAGAACTCTGGAGGGAAGTCGTTGTTGCGCAGGTAAAACGCCATGATGCTGGAGAAGATATGCACCATCGTCTCGTCGCTGAAGCTGTTGATGGTGCAGATGTTGAAGTGTCGCAGGAACCGCGCCGTCACGGCATTGCGGCCGCCGCCAGGAGGTCCCATCGCTGCCAGCAGCTGCAGGTCCTCAAGCCGGATCTTGGAAGTGTCCTTGAGGTCATACCTTGCCGCCATTCAAGGTAAGAGAGCACTCAAGATAAGACAGGATGTCAAAGGAGGAGGCTGAGTGTGTGGCTTCTTGCTGGACATCAACAGCTGCATTCATGGTAATATGAACGGAAACAATATTATCAGCAAAAGCATTGTTATCTACTTAATCATCAACATTATCAGCAGCACAATCATCAATTTTATGATTGTCATTATGATCACCAACGACAGCAGCAGCCTCGGCATTGTTAACTCGATCATTAACATGTTCATCAGCACTTGCATACATAGCAAAATCGTTATCATCATCATGGTCATCAGCAGCAACATGATAAAGCATATCACCTTTAGCAGCAAGAACATAGGAAGCACTTGCAGCTGCAAAATGTGGTATGACTCCATGACTGAAAGTTGTGCAAAACGACATGATTATAAGACAGAACTTGAGGCTCAACGTGGACAAAGTACACTCACTCACCAATTGCCGTGGTCAAAGAACTGCCGCAGCAGCTCAATGGGCGGCTGAGCCCCGAACTTCTCGAGTGCCGGCATGTTCATGTCGTCCACGAATATCACGCTGCGCTTGCCCATTGGGGGGCCAAACACGCCCTTCCTGCGCTTGTCAAGCTTCGACATGATGATGTTCTAAATGGGCAACCAAGGGGGACATGCAAAGGGCTCCGAACGTCACGCTACATGAACTTACACCGGCAAAGCACCAGCAGCATTAGCATCACTATCATCAGCAGAAAAAATATCGTCATCACCATGAATATCATCACCAGCAACAAGGGCAATGCTAGCAGCAACAACAATTGATTATTGACATCAGCTTCAACAACAGCAGGACAAACATAATAATCTTCCTACTCAGCAGCATCAAATTTAGCAGTAACAGCAGCAACAACAGCATCCTCATCACATTCAACAGCTCTTCCAACCTATGCTGGGGAAATATAGTTAAAGTACTTTTTCGGTGCTGAGGAAGTCTGTAAATTTATTCCAAAGTTGTGGCTCAAACATGTCCACAGAAATATCAAAAGCTGATTAATGTAATTCTGGTGTGCCCAGACCCTTTTCAAAATATTGAGATGTAAGAGGTGTAGTCTGCTTGTGTCAATGTACACTTGGCTTCCCACCTGCGTTTGGTTGGCACTCGTCTGAGCTGAGAAGTTGACAAAGAAAGGCAGGTACCGCTCCTTGTCCAAGTTGTTCATCAGCTTGTTCTTGATGTACACAGACTTGCCCGTGCCCGTTGGGCCCACAAAAAGCAACGGCCTGAAAACAAAAACACTTCTGCCTCAAGTGACAGCCCCATTCACCTCCTATGGTTATAGATGTGCTTGTGATTGTCAGGCACTGAACTTCGTAGAGACAGCATGGCCTCACATCGCATTGGGCATTGACCCTGAAAAAAGTTAAGTTTATTTTGTTTAGCCAGGTGAGAACTCAAGAGACGATGATAGCCTTATTTGCAAGAATTACCTGTGGAATTAATCTGCATAAAGAGGGGCGATGATTACTATTCAGAATCCCAATTAAGGAATTTGCACTGTCGTTTTTTAATTCGATCAATTTGGACCGTGACCTAACATACGATGGCCTACTCTTGACAGAAAATAAATGACACAGAAGCACTGTAGCTCCAGTGCCCTTTCTATGGGCCCCATTAATAGAAATACAGATGAACGGACAAGTTGGATGCAATACATTAAATAAAAATAAACCCATGAACTAAAGTTATTTCCTTATTTCAGATTGTACCATCGCACCACCATCCTATTCTGAAGATAATAATTCCTACAATCAAGAAAAAACACGAGTAATAGTCAACTATGACAGTTGATTTTAAATGATCACTGAACTTCTGTGCTGTCAGTTTCTCATATGAGAAAACTTTGTTGTCTATAAGGCAAGTTATGCTCTGTAAAATTTCAGAGCATAATCAAGGCAATACGCATAGCTGGGCTATGTAGCTCTAAAGATTTCTAAGAATAGTAAAAGCAGTACATAAGCCTTTACTGTGATAAGCTTTAAAAATGACATGGCCTTGAGAATTACAGTATGCGAGTGGTTTGGTTAAGCTGCCTTGCTTACATTGCACATCCACTTTAGTGTCTTTGACGATGTATTCAGAGCTATCAGGCTGGTTGGTACATTCGTTAGACAGCTCAACTCTCAATTGAAAGGTTATGCACTCATATTGCAGTGTGGGAAAAATGTACCCCATTATCTCTCTGGGGTGGCGATACTGGCCCCTGCCAAAAGGATGTGGAATTTTCACCACCGGTTCAGGACTGCCAATGCAGATGAGTACTACTCAATGTTCATTAGAGGATGGAAACACATTGTCCTGTTGATAAAACACCGCACATCGTGGCTTCAACATAGTGCAATTCATGTGGCAGTGATACTGCCTATCAAGAAGCACACATGGTACCTGGAGTGTTGAATGCAGAGGTCCATGAGGTAGGTGTAGCGCGCAGTGTCAATGGTGGGCACGATGATGTCCTGCACCTTGGTGCCTTTGTCTCCCAAGTGCGGGTTTTTGATCAGCTCGTTCCAGTGCACCCAGTGGCCACGGCCTTTCAGCTGTGAGACAATTAATCATTTAAAGGTTGTTTGGCAGTGATGTTCAAGTACAAAAACTCACAATCCCCATCAATGACAAAGCCTCCTGATTGAGTAGACTTATTTTGACTTAATAAGTGGAGATATATTACTGTAGAATTTTTTTTTATTTAATTCAGTGGAAGCTGATGCAGTCAACCAAGCACTCACAAACCACCACCTTGATAAAAACATATAGAAACCTTACAAACCATCAATAGAAGATAATGGTTGATAATTGGTTCTTTACCCTTCTATCTGGCAACAAAACTGACACCTTTTTGCAAGGAGTCATGTTTGCATAGACCGCAATACCTGCAGTCATAAATACAAACAAAAGACATAACTCTGATAATGTGCACTGTCCTTATCAGAGTTATGTCTTTTGTTTGTATTTATGACTGCAGGTATTGCGGTCTATGCAAACATGACTCCTTGCAAAAAGGTGTCAGTTTTGTTGCCAGATAGAAGGGTAAAGAACCAATTATCATATTTTTACTGGCAAATGAGGTCCCCATAGTGAAGATAATGGTTGTCATAATTTCCAACTTGTATTGCGATAATCGCCACATGGTGAAATTGAATATTGTATTGCATCGTGAAATATGACATCGCGGCAAACGTCGTCCATACCTCATACATGTAGTCGTAGACCAGGCCTCTCTCCTCCAGCGGGCACTCCCACTTGCCGACGGTGGGAGGCAGCGGGTGATCCTTGGACTTTCCCGCGAGCAACTCCCTCAGGAAGGAGTCAAACTTGACGCGACCATCAGAGTCGCACGAAGCTCCCACCGACCACACGAGCGAGAAAGCAAAGCTGGCCTGCAAGCCGCGCGCACGCGCATCTCAATGATGCAGTCCAAATAACAAACAGCTGCTGTTTTGTAGATAAGCGATTAGGCCATATGTCCCAGGATATTATATGTGTTTGAAGCTTAATTGAAGAGAATAAAATCCATTTGCATGCATGAAAATGCAACTTTCAGGTGTACTGGAATAGCGTTTTCTGGTGATGTCACTGGGGCACAATTGTGTACGTGTATTAAGCCACCAACAAGGATCTTGTAGATAGCAGCGCATCCAAGCTGGTATCAAGGAAAACATATTCCTTCTGACTCATATACACACAATATTACTACACCCCACAACTATAGAGTGAGTTGTCTACAAAATGAAGCTGCAACACTAACCCAGAGCTCAACACTAACCCAAAGTTTCAACATTAACAGCCTCTGTGACCATTTTTACCAGTATCAATATGATGAAAAAACATAGGCTTTACCCTTTCCGTCAATAATAGATGTGTTAAGGTGTTCAAACACCACATTGACAACTATTGCAAGGCATCAAGTCTGCATGAATCAAACATTCTTGTGGTAAATCATGCAAACAATCATGCTTTGATAATAACGTATGCATTGTCTTTGAAACTAATTGGCCTACATCAGGCAGCCTCCGTTATGGCCTTGTCTCACCAGTGTTAGATATAACTGCTCAACCCAAGCTATTAATGCTTAAATATTTGCATTACCTTTGTGCAGTTTGCCTTTTGGCATTCTCAATACTAACAAAGCTTCAGCACTAACCCACAGGCCTTTGAGGCAAAATACAAAAGTTACGCATTAGGGGGTATTTTTTGTATGCGCAAAGAGAGGCAGGCGTCCTTGCTGAGCCGGCACGTCTGGCGGCACGCACCATTATCCACACGCGCACGTTCTTGCTGTCCGACTCCTGACCGAGCAGGCCACACAGCAGCATCTCAAAGAGGCGCGTGAGGGACACCACCAGGTTCCCATCCGACGTCTGCACCAGCTCCTGCACAGAACAAAGTGGTTATGTTCTTCCACTTCCTCACCAAAGCCCAGACAATCTACAATCTACAGACACGATGAGTGCCTTTGTGAAAGCCTCGCTGAGTCTCAACTCTTTTTCATGAGTGTCCTGAGAGGGACACACCTTGCATTGCTTGCGGACCATTCGCAAGGAGGGCGCCACCAGCCAGGTGAAGAGCTCCTGCAGCAGGACCCTGTTGTCCTCCTGCTGCAGGGTTGGCGGAAGGGTGCCAAGCCACGACTGCACCAGCGGCTGCCAGCCCAGCTGCGACGGCTCCATGTAGATCATGCCGCACCGACTCACGGTGGCCGGCTGAGACAAACAAACATCCCGTGCAATGATTTCACCGATTACTGTGCTCTGTGTCTCATCAGGCCAGGTGGCACCGTGGTTAGAGCGTGCGGCTCAAAGTCAAAGGATCGCAAGGTTAAATCTCGGTCAGAGATCGACTCTGCACTTCAGGTCTCCAGGGTCTATAAAGTTAGCACGACTTTGTTAGAGATCAATGGTGGCTGTTCTTTGTAGGGAATAGGTCTCTGTGTGATGGGAATATAGAATTCCCACTACTGGCTTGAGGATTTATGGACTGAGTCAACACCCACTCAGAAATCAAAGGAGCTCTGTATACAGTGCCACCCAGCTAGATATAGAAACACAACTGTAATGTTAAATCTAATGCAGTATTACACAAATACATGCCCGAGCTGTAATGTAATGTGATTTTATGTCGACATAAAAATAGTGAACAAAAATGATTTTCACTTAACAGATTGGAAAAAATCAAGCTATGGTAACTAGCAAATCAAGTCTATAAATACAAATGCTTTTCTTGGCGTCTGATGGTTCGACTTTGTCAGAAATGCCACTATTGCATCTAGGACAGGTCTATGCGCGATCGAGAGTTCAGTTTGAGGGACACGGCTGTCCATTTGTAGACACGTTGCTCATCTTCATGCGGAAACGCCAGCAAATTGCGCACTTCAGTTGGCGGTTGATGTTTGAAATGGACTGCCACCCTCTAAAGAATGGTGCCACCCCTGTGGTCACCCCGTGAAACGTGGATCAAACAAATCACTCGAGACTCCGGTGTATGACAGTAAAAACAGTCGATGAGAATGCTGTCGCAAGGGGTCACACGTTTGGCGCAACAGTCCTTCGCTGACGTTGCATGATGAATGAATAAATATTATTTAATTTAAGTTGAGTGGGAAATGGACTTACGGAGGCTTGCGAGAGGTCCATGGCCTCAAAGATGAGGCTCATTGGTTGTGACATCTGAATGATCTCTCCACTCATGAGACACAGCTGCAGACACAACCACATACAATTACGTCAGTCACTGTATAAGCCTCGTGAATTGTGCATCTGTCACTGAAAGTTATGACAAATCAATGGTTTGGTGTTTGTTTACATTATAACAACTTCTGACAAGTGAAAATGTTGATAATAAGTGGAGCAGGGCAGTGTGAACCGTGGGAATATTCACAAGCATTAAACATTCCTGGTGTTATAGGCAACCTGGTGTTGTAGGCAGGTGACTATTCAGCATTTGTTTAACATGCCACAGTCTTAATGAGAAACCAAGGTGAAAGCATATGCTTGCTTAGATGCTTCTGGAAAATATTAGTCCAGAAGGCCTATATATTTATGGATCAATTGTTAGATTATTTTTATTTGGTAAAACAGACAGTTCTTTGTTATCTTATTAAACCCATGTATTCCATGTTTATTGTGGCTATGTTTGTTAAGACATCTTGCTATTTTTGTTATATATTTATTGTTTGGGTCAGATGGCATATATGGGCCTTAGCAAAAAAAAACTGTTAGCCTGATTAACTGAAATGTATTTCATTGATTTCAGCTTCTTGGGCCTCATACTGTGAATGGCTGCTCCACTGTAAGTGAGTGGCTGCCCAGGATACACCATTCCATTTGTTTAATAAGCTAAACCTTGGCGATGAAACTCAGTGAAGAAAAACAGAGAAGTGGTTGCATTTTACTGTGTAAGAATAATCTGAAAGAAAGACCCATAGTGCAACGAATACAGTATTCCATGTAGTGATCAAACAATCCCTTTCACTATGCATTTGTATAAACACATCCTGGTCATGTTATCATACATTGGGACACACTTACAAAGGAGATTGTGGAATATTTACAATGAAGGAGAAACTAATGCTATATCAACATGTGATTATTGCAGCTCATTGTCAAATGCATAATTCCAGTAAAGTATTACGTATTATGCATCATCTCCTCTTGTCAGTGTGTGAAGGTTTTTAACATCTACTTTCGTCCTGAGCTTTTTTTTTTTATTAATTACCCACAGATATCACTGGTGCATAGGCCAAAAACGTAGTGGCCACTAAATCAAGCAGCTGCAAATCTACCAGTCAAATATGGTGACGTCATAAGGAAGAAAGGCCCCATGTTGTTCAAGGTCAAATGAACACGTATGCTTTTGCAAATGACAAGCAAGATGATGTTCATGTCCATTGGAGGCCATGTGCCAATCGTGCAAATTCCACAATCACACGATTGGGGCCATTCTCTTCAAAGGATAACCGTGGTTAATGACCCACAAAGAAGTACTTATTTTATCAGACCTTGAGATATGATAGGCTAGGCCGAACCCAACCGCTACTTCAACTACCTTCTTGTTTCGATTTAAAGCTTTCGTGACTGCAGGGATTCATCTTCTTGTTTCTTTCGGTAAAGTCACGTAGAAGGGAAGTAATAAAAGACGGCTGCTTGCGTTGTAGCCGAAACGTCGTGAGAATTGTTTTATTATGTTTTATTTTTATTATTTTATTACTTCCCTTCTACGTGACTTTACCGAAAGAAACAAGAAGATGGATACCTTCTTGTTGTCGTCGAGCACCGTATTCATGCTCTCAATCCACAGCGTGTCGATGGGACCGTCAAACACCACCCACTTGCGATCCGGCGTGTCTGACGACGCAAACTCGCGGAACGTGTTGGCCACTATTCCGTCTGTCCACTGCAACGGCAAGGAGTGGAAAGTAAACGCAAACACTCCAAGTTACAGTGTTACTATGTCAAAACAAGCAGTGGGGGCATCACCCATCGCTGGTGGCAGCATTGTTAGAAATGTCCCATTCCAAAGGTTGGGGGCCAGTCTTCAGTATAAATAAATATTCTGAAATATTATGATTCTGAGTCTCTCCATCGGACAACCACTGTTCATTGTTCACAGAGTGGAACTCATGTTACCAGTCCAGAGGGGTGGCACTAATGGTGGACAGAAAACAGTGAAGAGAAACCCAAATATAGAAGGCAGTGTTGACCACATATTTGAATTGCATTGAGAGGTAGGCAATATTTGTGTAACCATTCACCCTACGACTGAAATTATTTGCACAAATAATAAACAATCAATTCTTATATACATATTTGATCGGTTATATGGTAAATCGTTGAAAGCCTATTCATAAGGGTAAGTAGACAAATCTTGACTTAAAGCTTTCGTGACTGCAGGAGTTGATATTCTTTGGGTCTTTCAGTAAAGTCACGTAGAACAATTTTTTTTACAAAAAACTACGACGTTTCAATCGCAACACAAGCAACTGGCATCAGGAGAAAAAGAGCAGGAAAGCTGCTGATGCAGGCTGTTTTAAAGGTTTGAAATGGGTGTAGCCCAAGGGTCATAAACGAAGTGAGAGGAGCGAGTGATGTTAAGGTGAGAAATTTGCATGTGGAGAGGCGGGCGCCGGCATCACCTCATGTGACACAGGGTCAAACTGGCCGAACAGCTGGCCCATGGTGATGGCCTTGGGGTTGACGGTGCGCAACTGCACACGCTCCTCGCCACCCTGGCCACGCTCGCTCATCAGCGTCAGCGTGTCCGCCAGCACCTGCAGCACCTTGGTCTTGCCGGCAAACGGCTCCCCCACCAACATGAAGCTAGGAAAAGCAGAAACATTGTCACCAGGAATTTCCATGGTAACCTTACCGCTTGCCATTGCTCGTACCAGGCATGGGTAACGAGCTGTCAATTTAACGATTAAAATTGATTCTAACTCTCACGATGTATTGAATTACTGAATGAACTTGCATTTATATTGCACTCTATATGTCAAACAACAAAGTGTTTCGGAGCGCAGAGCCCCCTGTTGTCAGCGGTCCCCAGTGCAGCGCAAGGTGACAATACCTGGCTCGGCGATGAGCATTGGTCTGCCAGCAAGGGGCAATGCTTGCTATGTGTGTAATTTGTGGGTAATTTCATGGTGTAACAAAAAAATGTATTCCTGAGTAGTATGTGTTATTTCCTAATCGCTTATGCCTCAAAAGTACAAAAAATGGCTATTATTCCCCCCAAACTTTGCTTTTGTGACCAGGATGGTGATATTTTGAAATGCACCTATTTTCAATGAGAAAACGTGTGCATTTGTCTCTTTCGTTCACATAAAGTCCTGGTCACAAAAGCAAAGTTTGTGAGGAATAATAGCCATTTTCTATACTTTTTAGGCATAAACAATTAGAAAATAACACTTAGCACCCAGGAACAAAAATAGTTTTACATAGTGAAACTTCAAGATGGACAGAAGAATGATGGCGTTGAGCTAACTCCTGATCAAAATCTGAACACATGAACTATGAAATATGAATAACACTACTCCTGAACATGTCAATATTAGTTCGTGCTTTAATGGAAACTTCTGTCCTGTGATTTCCACACGTAACGTGGGACTGTCTTTTCAGATGAGCACTGCTTAATGTACATTTAAGTAAGAACACACTTGGCTGGATTATACAAAATCTTCAATACAATTCGTAGCTCCCAACACTGCAATTGTCATTAGGTATTGCATGTCATGCACACTGCTAAAGAATGAGCATGGCTTGCTGTGTGAGTGCACATGGATCGTTACTGTGGTGTTGCTCACCCGTGCCGCACGATCATCATCTCGTAGGTCTGGATGAGTTTTTCCAGGAACACCTTGACGGGCTGCACGTTGTGCCGGCTGCAGCACTCTCTTGCAGCCTCGAGGAACAGCTGAAATCAATGAGAGCAGCAGCAGCTAGATTAGGACCCCAAGCAGTGTGGGTCGTGGGGATTATTTTACCATACTTCACCACGCTGGTAAGTGTGGTTTGGTGAAGGCAGGGAGAGCAGATTTGGGAACATTGAAATACAGTATAACAAATTATTTCAATGCACTGCTCTCAACTGCCCATAATAAAGTTTCTACCACTGTGTGGGAAATCAACAGTGGTTGTCCGATGGTGTAAATTCCTCCTCCAGTTAATTTCGTTTAACCAACTCAAGAAAACAGGACCGTGTATAATTTCCCAGAGTGACCTGCAGAAATTGCCTGTCAGTAGGGGGCGATGTTTGATACGTATCATGCCAATTGAAGAATTTGCGATGTAATTTTCGAATTTTTAAAATGTGGACCCCTGAAGCAGATAAGAGCACAATATGAATATAATTACCGATCGTAATTATCAGCACAGCCGCTGGATTCGAACCGTGAAGCCCTGCATGAAGCGGCGGGCGCGCTACCACTGAGCCACATCGCTGTCCCACCACAGGAAGGTGAAATTTACACCACTGCCTGATGACTGTAAACCCAAAGTGAGTACTTCCCCATGCTCCTTTGAACAGCAAACTCATTTGTCGTACTGTGGTTTGCGATATAACAGAATATAATTCAGACGTGACAAAGTGTCCATCTACTGGCAGTCCTGTCAACCTGTGTGTCTGGTACTGATGAAAACGCTTTTGTGTAATTTGTTCTAACATTATGGAACCATCTTCTCTTGCAAGTTATATCATGCACTGCAAATAACTGGTTTAGGTTATGCCTCAAAATATTACTTTTCATGAAGAAGTTTCAAACATAGCATGGTTCATGAGAATAATTAGCTGTCAGTGGTTGAATGATCTATTTGGGTAAAGCTATCTGACTGGCAGATGTGGAAAGGGCATGCATATTATAAGACCTTTGAGTGACTTTCATACAAATGTTTCGTCAATATAAGCTTCATTATCATTATTAATATAATGAGTGTGGGATAAAAAATATGGTGAAAATTCAATTAAAGATGTACGGTAATCGAATAGAGGTTTATTTTTATAGCATTAACAATCAAATTAGTGTGGAGTGATGTTCAACTAGAGGTAAGTGGTGGTTGTTGAACTAGAGGTAAGTGCTATCTGTCCGAGTAAAAAAAGAGACAATTTAGACGTATTAATCCTCATGGTTCTTCTGACACAAGAAATATATGTCCAATACCGTGTAGTCAGCAACTGGAAGGGTAATGCCAGGGAAGAGGTCACTCGTGATGCCATTGAAGAGTGGGATGTCGTGCGACAAGAACTTGGGCTCGTTCACATCCTTGATAGATCGCAGCAACTGCAGGACACAGCACGATAGTTTGGCTCTTGCATATGCAAATAATCGACCAGCACCCTTACAGCAGAATGTATCTTAACTGTTAACATCTGATTAAATAATGACGATCTTCCAAATGAGTAATGTGCAGGTGATTTTCCAAATTAGACATATTTGGATAATGACACCAGCACACAGTGACCTACTCTTGCAAATTAAGTCACGGGATCTGTAACTTCCATGTGAAGCAGACGGAGCATATTGTTATGGTTAATAGAGATGCAGTATTCATCAGGGCAGCCGCTGGATTTGAACCGTGAACCTCAGCAACGAGTGGCGACCACGCTGCCACTTGGCCATGTCGCCACCCTATCTAAACAATCATCTTTTAATTGCTACTTTGCAACTGATGGACATTGCTCAGATAAATGTGAAAATGTATTACTCAATTGTTTATGGTCACATCGCCCGTGAACATTCCACAAGGGCACCTTTATTCTAGCGAGCTCTCACCAGGATGTCCTCGTTCTCGTTCGGGAACTTGAGCTTGAGGTTGCCGGCCGCTATGAGCACCGCCTTGACCGCGCGCATGCCGTAGTCGTAGTGGAACTGCGAAGACAGCTGCTCTGAGCACAAGCGGTACGTCATGACGATCTTCACCGACAGCGGCTTGGCGTTGAGAAATCCGTACGAGTAGAGCGAGATCTCCGCGATCAGAGCATAGTTCGGCACCATCATGGCCACTGTGCGGAACAGCACCTGGTGGCGAGAGGGTCGCGGTGGGGATCAGCGTCTTCACCACAGCAGTGTTTTGCTAACGAAGGCTCAATACTCAAACAAAAGAATTTAGTCGGGCACGAAGGTAAAAATGTGGTATCCAACATGTTTGAGGAAAGGGACGGTGGATCCCAATGGGCTGCTAGGTGGCCAGTGCTTGTCTCTATTGGCAGCTCTGGGGCAGTTGTAGAAATTCTTCATTTCCATGGTTAGGGTCAGGCTTTCCAGAGGACAACCACTGTTGACTTTCTAGAAAGTGATATTTTAGATTTTATTGACCTCGGAGGGATCATGGGATGAGTCAACCCCAGAATGGGTATTGACTCAAAAGCTTCAAATTGTGAGTCTAGCACTATCCACATCGTGTTGTAGTCTAATTGCTAAACCTATGCGCAGCTTCCAAAGTTCAACCACTTTGTCTTCAAACGAGTGCAGTGGAGTACTGTTCAACATGGTGACCTTGAACTTAATGGTGTAAATTACATATTGATATAGTGGACACAAGTATCTACATAAGACAACCATTAAGTCAAAATCCCATTCAGTAGTCAACACAGTCCAGTATCTCTCTGTAATTTACTAATCTGTTGGACGTTGGTCGTGGTTGCGCTATGAAGATACAAGCCTTCGTAACTTGCTCAGCACCACCAGCAGGGAAGAGCTTGTCTGAGTATGAAGACATGTTGACAAATTACTTTAGAGGTCAGCTACCTTCAGGTTGTCGGGCAGCTCCGAACGGCCAGCGTAGCCTGGGTTCATGGTTATAGCCACAAAGCAGTTGGGGTTGAGCACCAGCTCCGTGCCCTCAAAGGCAAAGGTCACCATCTTGGTCTGGATGGCGCGCTGGATGCACAGAATCTGCTGCGCCACCACGGACAGCACCTCCAGCTCGATGCGGTTGAACTCGTCAAAGCAGGCCCATGCGCCTGAAGATGCCAGGCCCTTGAAGAACTGTGGTGGACAGTGATTACACACAGCGGGGCCATCCCACGTTCAATTCCGCTGCTTTAAATAGTCTATACAGACAGCACTCTAGTCAGAGCATGCAATTCACAGTGGGAATCCTGCAAACAGATAATTACCATGGATTAATTACCATGGATTATTGTCAATAATAATTTCAACTTGTAATGCACCGCACGATATTCGCTCGCTCTCAAAGAGAAGATAAAATCTCAAAGATACGAGGTACCACAGGCAAGTGGGAAAGGCAGCTAGGTGGTGAACGGTGCTAAATTCCCCCCCCCCCAAACTCTGCTAAATTCCCCCCCCCCCAAACTCTGCGGTCCTCTATACATTAAGGTGTTATTGGCCAATTAATGAATGTTTACATGTGGGAAGAAACCAGAGCATCCGGAGAAAACCCATATGTGTGAGAGGACAACCCTCTATCCCATACAGATGTAAAGCCAGGGTATGGCACCTCGATGCCCACAGGAAGAGAATTTCACAACATATGTGTGATCCACCAACCTTCACATCCACAGTGCAAGATTAAAGGTGTGCTTTACCACCGCCTGGCTATATTATTTAATGCAATAGAATAGCGTTAATTGTGTTTGGAACTGTGTATTCTTTAATCCGTCCATCGGCAGAGAGAGGCACCTTGCTCATGGCCAGGTAGTCGAGCCCATCGGAGCAGTTGAACACCACACACTGCACGGCCAGAGCCTTAGCCAAGTCCTTCGTAGTCTCCGTTTTGCCAGTGCCGGCCGGACCCTCTGGGGCTCCTCCTAGGTTCAGATAGAATGCGCCAACCTACAGGGTAACACGGCACATACACGGACACATGAACACTCACACAATCAAAAGAATGGCCACATGCTGCTACTATCAGATGTAATGTATCGTCTTTCCCATGAATGAAATTCACACTCAACAGCCCAGGACACACAGTCGATGTATGCATCTTTGGGTTACATATTCTGCTTTACATCTGACAATTTAAACACCCCATAAAATATAAACAAAAAGTGCTTTAAAACTATGTCTGGCTAGTGTGGAAAAGAAGACCAAATTAGCATCGACAGGGACTCTCTAGAGCTCCCTTTAGTTAAGGGCCTTCCAACAGCAGTGATTGTTGGGTTGCAGCTTTGTCTCATCTCATCAACCAGCTTGTGGCTGAGTGCCTGCAGTGCTTTGTCTCACCAGGGTGCGGTAGCAGCGGTCGGTGAGCGGCGTGATGACGAGGCGAGGCGAGTTCCCCAGGTATTCGTAGGCGTACTTCACGTTACAGTTGACGATGCGTACGCGCACCTGCTCACTCTCCCAGTAGTAACGCAGTTGCGCTAACCACTGAAAGTCGGTCTCATTCGACACCCCTGCGAGACAAGTGGTGTTGGGATGAAGAAAAAACAAATTAGGGCTATGTTTGCCAGAAACTAGCTAAGATCAAGCAGCAGGAAGCCATGTCAAGGTGTCGTGGCATCGGTGGAATTCACCTTGTCGACCCGTTAACCTTAACTAATTACCCACGATAGAGTAATTTATTCGCACCTTTGTCAATCATGTCTAACACGACGTCACGCGCGTGCACGTCGATCGTCACCAGGGCGCCCAGCGTGACACGCGTCTGCTTGGAGAGGTCTCCTCTCACGAGCTCCACGATGTCCTTCAGCTGATCCTGCAGCCGCTCGCTGTATCCGCGCAGGCCCTGCTCACAGAGACCGACACATGGACACCTCGTTCAGCCTCGTCGTACTATGCCCGTGCTGATATGTGAATATGAGATGTTATCCCCACTAGTGGTTCTAAGCCAGTGATGGAAATTCCACATTCCCATGGCAGAGACCATTCTCTCCAGAGGACAACTGCTATTAATACGCTTTGGGTCTTTCGGTAAAGTCACGTAGATATAAAAATTATTTTTAAAAATCACGACGTTTCAATCACAACACAAGCAATCGTCCTCAGGTAAAAAAATATATGCTATACCTGAGGACGATTAAAAAAATATATGCTATATTTTTTAAAATATGCTATCTTTTTTAATATATGCTATATTTATTTACCTAAGAACGATTTCTTGTGTTGCGATCGAAGAATCATGATTTTTTTTATTTTTTTTATATCTACGTGACTTTACCGAAAGACCCAAAGAGTAGGAATTCCTGCAGTCACGACAACTTTAAGTCAAGATTTAACTGCTATTAACTTCCATTAAAGTAGGGCATATTTTATTTATCCCAAATAGATAACGGAATATGAAATCTCACTCTTCCAATTGTGAGTGATGTCCTCTATTTACAGTGCCCCCCAAAAGGATTTAAAGTGCTGTTAGTGAGCACCATTTAACATCATACAATGTTTGGGCAAGTGCTGCTCGGAAAAATTAAAACATTTAGTTTTATAATGAAGACAGTAGAGGAAATGCTAAATGACCACCATGTAGCCTTACAAACCTTTGGGGCAAATGCTGTTCGTGAGCACCCATTATGGCCAATACTGTACCCATGAGGGCAGTGAGGCGACCATTGGGCTTTCTTGACTGTCTTTATCTCCCCAGTGTTAAGTATGACCATACCACACCAGGAATTTACTTTAGGAGAGGTTCAAACCAGGCCAGGATACAGTTGTAATTGATGCTGTGTATCTCAACCAGGAGTCGGTCTGAGTCACCAGGATTGCAACACGGTGCGCTAACCAACACACCACACATTATCAGAACTGCCTATAAAAAAAATAGCAAGTGGCTATGAGAAATATACATGCAAACCCTCTTCTCGGAAGCAGCTAGCTGACTGACTACTTAGCTACAACTTTGTGAGACATCAACAGTAGTAGACTTATGGAAATACTAGCTCCTGCCATGGAAATATAGAATTGTATCAATGTCTTGGGGCTGCCAATTACGATGAATGCTGCCCCCCTAATGCTGATTTCAGCAGGGGGACACTTTGACTTCAACTTGTCATTTTGATGATAAGCGAGATGACTTTGGTGTTAATCACCTGCGGGCCATCCTTGATGGCTTCATGCACTTCCGTTGTCCAGAACATCTGGGAGACACAGATGACCACTTGGCCTGGCCACTCACGGACCCAGTCTTTTCTTTCGGTGTTGGCGTATGCCTGTATCAGGAGTCAGGGTAATGGTAAAATTAGCACACACGATGGTAAAGACAACGGAGAAGATTGAAAGATCATTCAGAGTCACTCCTTCTTGGGCAATCATCATTAAATTCATAAACCACTTCATTCATTTCGTAAATTGGTCCATAAATGAATTATTCAGTCATCTACAACCATGCTACAGACATGTATAAACCACACAAAATGGGACTACCAGTGCCTGTATTTGGTACATGATCAGTTCGGATAGGAATTTAATCAGATGATACAAATGACAAAGCATGGATCAGAATACGACCTAATCAATATCTGGTCATGTCCTGATCAGTGTACCAGACTGTGTCTTGAATTGTCAGCATTCAGGGTGACAATTCATTGTCATGCATGTTCACCCTTAAGCAATTTCAGGAATACGACAAACCAATCACGTTAAAGTATAGTATATACACTGGAAATTATTTAATCTACATGCACAATTTTCATTTATGTATCCTGAGCATGAGGATGCATTATAATTAAAAAAAACTGTGACATCTGTGTTATTTAAATTGCCACTTCGACCTTCTGAGAATCTTTGAACCCACCACTTTGACCTTCGCAGGGCCATATAAATCAAACGGTATTCTTTCCAAATTAAGCCTAATCAGCTGTTTAATTGTTGTTACTTCGATCTCTCGTAAATCAAACTCAAACCACACAACCTTCTAGTTGAAGCAATGCATTGTTACTTGCGATGCAGCTCTTTGACTACATACGCTATGCAAAAGAAGTTCAACATACATACATACAAAGGCAAATATCCCCCCTATAACCTTAACCGACTGTTGGGGCAAGTGCTGTTAGCGAGCACCTATGAAGGCCAGTACAGTACATGAGGGGGTGGGTGGCCAGCACCACGCTTGACCACCTTTGCCTCCCCAGTGGCGATGTTTACACACCGCACCAGGTACTCATTTGAGGCTGAGTTGACCCAGGAAAGTTCCAGAACCAGTTCAGATAATCGTCACTGGTGTTGGCCGTGAGTGGGAATCGGACTCAACTCGCCGGGTTCGTAGCTTACCGCTCCCCAACATACAAACACGCGCACACAAACACGGGCATCGCTCGGCGGGCGTCGATCGTTACCGTGCGCGCGCGGACAATGACGTCACGCACGCTGCGCAGCATCACATCTTCCACCTGCAGCAGCCACTTCTCCACGGCGCCGCGCGCCTCACTGGTGGACACGCGCTCCACCAGCTCGACGCGCTCGCCCTCGCTGCTGAACATGGCGCCGATGTCCAGGTTGGGCAGGAACCCGAGGCGAGCGATGCCCTCAAAGCACTTCTTGAGGTGCGGCTGCACGCGCAGTGGGTCCTTCGTCTCCGACAGGATCTCCAGCATCTCGTCGTTTGACAAGAAGAAGAATCTGCAAGTATTAATAAACACAATTGTGTCACGTGGTGTGATGTAAACGTCACAGCAATGGGTGGCAATAGATCAGCGTTCACGTCGCGCTATGTGTCAGTGCCCGGCTCACACCAGGGAAACAAATGTTCCTCCCAGTGAACCCAATTCTCCGAACTTCTATTCGAAGAATTCCGGTATCATTGATAACAACCACCCATAGAAATATCAGTGGCTTCACATAGAAAGCCTATCAAGGAAAAGTGTGGGGTTGTTTTAACACTGTGCCATTGAGAAGCAATGTGTTTGGTACACTGTTCCAAATCTCTCGTGACCACCTCGAAAAAGTTATTCCTTTAAATCCAATTATTGGGGAAAATGTGGCAATGTCTCCATCACCAACAATGGGGAAATTCGCAAAGATGACATATATATCAGCATTTTGCCTGTTATATCAAACCACTCAATCATTTCATTTTCCTTTGAAAAGTGCATTCTCTTTTTTTCTTCTTAAAACACATGGTAATCCAGGTTCAGTGAGTATATTTTATCTCCATATTCTCTAGATTTTTTTCTAATTTGTATATATTTCATATAACACATGAACAAGACGATGTGAAACAAACATTCACTCTTGTAGCATCAGCTCTTCTATAGACTTCAATCACTAATAATAATGTCTGCGTCTGGGTGTAGAGGCCAATCATGATAGTGCAGACATAAAATCCAGTGCTCTAATGAAGAAAGAGTAGGTACATGACACGGAAATCATCATGTTACGTGATACTGTAAAACCCACTGGGGTCTGAGAGGTAGCCAGTAAATCCCAACCATGTATGTGTGTACGTGTGCACCTTGGGAAAAAGAGTCGTTTCTTCTCCAGGTAGGCATTGAGGCCCTTCATGATTTTATCCAGGAGGCCATTGCAGTTCTGCAGCTTGTCTAGGAGGCCCGTCATGGAGGTGGCAGCCAGCACCTGTAAGGAACACAAGTAAGACTCATTGAGCCACCTGGTGCTGAGAAAACTGGGTCACGTTTTCATTATGATTGCCTTGGAGGTTGAGGTGGAAATTCTACATTCCCATGGTGTGGCCAGTGTCTACTAAGGACAACCACTGCTGACTGCCCACAAAGCAATAATCACTTTATTGACTCCAGAGAGATGATGAGTTGAATTAATCTCTATTGGGGCTTGAACGTTCAGCCTTCCAATTGTGAGTGATGCACTGTATTAACAGTACCACCAAAGTGGATGTAATTGGTGTTAGTGGGTACATCCCTCAAATAGACAATAGTAATAGATGGGAAGTGATGTTAGTGAGTACTGTTTCGTGTTATAGACAGTTGGGGAAATTTAATTTACGGAAAACTAATGAGCTTCATAGTGTGGACAGTACAGGGAAGTTGCACAAAGAGCACAATCGAGCCTTACAAGTGGTCAGGACAAATATTGTTTGCGAGCATGTATTATGGCTGCAAGTATACATAACAGGGTAGTGGGATTATCGCCATGCTTACTTGACTGCCTTTACTGCCCAGTGCTAATGATGACTATACCACACCAGAATAGTGGGGTATAGTCAACATTAGGCTGCATCAATCCCTGATTTTAATTTGAACGTTCATGGAAATAAGCTCATAAAGTGATTTTTTTAATGAAAGCCTAACTGAGTCTCAAGACTTTTGCATGAGGACCTTGCATTAGAATGTGCAGCCAATGAATTTTCTAAGCATGTTTCACATGTGGAATGAATCCAGAAAACATTGGTAAAACCCACATATGTGAGGGGACAATATTCAAAATCCACATAGATGGTTAAGAATCCCCCTCACAACACAGAAAGTTGAACATTTCATAACATACAATGACCATTTAGAATATTCGTGAAAATGATGCTGGTGCCACTACTGATAATGATGTAGACGATTACAACTCAGCATCTCAGAGATGCCGTGTCAGTGTTTTGTCAACCAACCCATTAACAATATGAAAACTCACGCGGTGCAATAGCACAAACCAAAACTCACCATCTTCACAACTAACATGACCTTATAACTGATAAATACATCGTTGACGAACATTTGAGGCATCATGACAATGATGATGAATATTTCAGGCACTGGCCATATCAAGGCCCCATACCTTCGGGTCTCTGCTGCAGAACTTCATGACCTCTCTCCAGTTGCGATCGACCGTCTGGAAGAGGCGGCCTTCCTCGGGCATCTGCTGCATGATGTCCTGCGACGAGAAGATGGGCTCCAGGTAGAGCCACTGCGCCTGCACCTTGAGCCACTCGTCGAGCGTCTCCTGTATGCGGACGAGGCGCTCCTCCCACGCCTAGACGTCGACAAAGGTGAGAGGCAACTGCATCACTACGGATGTGCGTGTGCATGCACGGATTGTTGCTGTGTCATGCATATTTAAGACCTGGGTCTGTTCCGTGACCTCTTAGAAGCGAGCCTTCAACACTTAGCATGGGCTCAAAGTACATCTAGCCTGGCACAAGCGCTGTGGTGATGTCACCGGCACTTAGTTAGCGAATGGGGGCTGTTGTTATAATGCATATTTGTATTTATATGCATGTATATATACAAGGACATGTGTTTGTATGTATGAGTACTGGAAATGTATCAATATATTTAATATTTGTACGTTTGTATGTATATGTGCATGTACAGCCCTTTGTCAATCCACTGCCGAATGAGGACTTCCCCATATCGTGTGGATCATGGTGATTATTTGACCATGATTCACCACGTTGGTCAGTGCGCGTTGGTAAAGGCAGGGATCATTGATGTGGGAGCATAGACGTGCAGTACAAAGATGGATCTTTCTGCACTACCCCCTTCTGCCAACCACGTAGCCATGTAGCCTATAACAACCGGTTGTGCATAGTAGTCGCCCATGCAAGCACTATCCAGGCTCAATTGTGCTTATCTTGAGATAAGGTGCATTCTGGGTGGATTGGTCAGAGGAGGCACATTTGTCCTCATGTCCATACATTTGTAGCTTTATAGAGTAAAAGCTCGGTAAAACACAGCTCTTGACAGCACGAACTCTGATATACATCGGGTCAAGTCATGTCAGCATGATGTCTAACATTTCGCTCCCGCTCCAAGTGCAGGGAGCTGTACAACATAAAAACCCAAATACAACCCGAAAACAGATCAAAACGCTTGACAGCACAACCACGACAATCTACGCAGTAGTACTCTGAACGCAATTGACCGCTCCAACCCTTGCAAAGCCGTTTATGTAGTCCATCAAAATCCAGCCCAGCCAATAGTCATTGAGCTGTTCCCACCACCACACCAGGTGATTAAGCATTCATATATCGCTGTTCCGCTTGACTCTTTCTGTGTAGAAACTTGCCTTGATCTCCTTCTCAAAGGGCTTGATGAAGGCCGAGCCGCGCATGGTCTGTGTCTTGACGATCTGATCGTCGAGTGTGCTCTGAATCTCGTCGACCGACGAGAGGATGCAGACACCGGTCTCGCGGTACTGCAGCGTGGTGAACGTAACGCTGTCCCATATCTCCACCATTGTGTGCAGCGCCTTCTCCAGGGAGTATTCCTACCATCACACACACACATGTTCAGGTCAACAGAATTAAAATCAGCATCCCTTCTACCTCAATACTGAGAGACCGAGAGAGACATGAGGATGCACAATGGGTATGACAGAATGTCTTAAGTGTTTATGAGGTGGCCAAGTGGATCAAACTTAAGAGCCCATAATGGGCAATGCCAGTGATACTACCAAACTTTGTCATCGCTTCTTCTTGCTAGATCCTTTGAGAAACAACATCAACATCTGGCTTTAGGTATTTCCCTAATATGCCAACCCATGGGTGCCAATGAAATGCCAGATTCTATAATCTGCCCATCTTCATCATACCTTCCTCTTCCTGATTAGATCTATAACATATTATTGTCAAATTATATTTCAAACCTCTATGTTGCCTATCCTATACTGTCATAATATTCTAAGCATACTCTGCGTGCAAATATGTTCAAAGGCCATTTTTTTTTCTAGTTGTTGTGTTCAAATTTCTTACCAAGACAGTACCAGACATTAAGCTAGTCTCAAACACCCATCTTGTCACCATGAAATTGCCCCTCTAGGGGCTAATAATAGCGTATGAGACCACTGGGCGAGCACCGCTTAGGTGGCTCTGTGTGGCAACGCTGGATGCTTTACCTTGCTCGCTGCCGCGCTGATTTGCTCAAACTTGTTGAGGTAAGGGATCAGGTTCTGCTTGAGGACCTTGCGCAGGGTGGTGCCCGAATCGGGGGTGATGTCGTTTTCCACGACCTCTGACATCTGAACCCAGTGCCGTTCCCTGATGCCCGGGTTGCACAGGACAGACACCAAGGGGGTGTGTTCCTGCAAGCGTGTGTGGGCACGACAATGCACAATTACAAACATTTATTCACAATAAATAGCAACACATACATAATGCGTGTCAGTGTAACTTAGGCCAGCCAGGTGGTGCTGTTGTGACAAAGCACTCGACTCGCTATCAAAAGGCTGCAATTTATGGCCAGGGGTTGACTCGGCCCCCCTTCCCTCAATGGAGTGAGCAAACAGAGTGGTAATTTGTGAGAAATAAAAAATGGTTGTCCAGAGCTGCGCATCACCACGGTATTAGCATTCAAGAGGCCGACTGCTGGTCACGAACCACACACATCTGCAACATGCGGCAAACGCGGCACCGCTTTGCCGTGTCTCGGCTGTAGCGCTTAATAAAAGCTGCATTTGTTAACTCCAGCCTAAGCCACCAGCCTCCCCCCCCCGAGCCCCACAGGCACCTTAAACTCCTTGACATGCCCCAGCACGTTGCTGCACATCTGCACGGACGGATCGGACTGCTCCTGAGCTTCCTCGATCTCAGCCCCGGCACTGTCCCCGCGCTTTTTGCGCGGGGCGTCTCGCTGGCGCTCCTGCTCTGCCTTCTTTTGCCGCTGCTGGAAGAACTTGAGGTGCTTGTACATCTCTCGAAAGAACTCCTCCAACTCCGTGGCCATCGTCTCACCATTGAGCTCAAGGAACGAGCCGTCCATCCACCTGTGTGGGGCAATAGGCGACGACACAAGCGTGAGATGCACTTGCCAGCCCTTCTGGATGTGTTGAATGAAACCCAGAAGAGTCAAGATAAATCTCTGGATTTTGCAAATATGTATATACACAGGATGATTCGATTAGAGATACCCCACTGATTGAATAGTATGAGACGGATGGCACTTCTGTTAACAATCATCCCTTTAGGGTAGACACAATTAGTACCACTTGGCTAGAAGTCAATAATGACTGTCAAATGAGCATGGGGCATTGCTCATCCTCATGTTCAGCACAGGTAACATTCCATATTCCTATTGCAGGGACAATCCACACCATGAGAAAACCACTAGTGACCGCTCAACAGCTGGTGCTAATTATATTCACACCAGAGAGAGGATGGACTGAGTTGATCACAGAGCAGGATTTGAACGCATAACCTCCTGATTGCAAGTTCTGGGCTCTAACTGCAACACAACCAGCCATTACTTTTTGTTGAACCACAGGTGAGCACCACCACATCAAGTGTGTATTGTGTGAGCATAAATGAATGAATATAAAATACCACTGTTGTGTGTCAAATGCCAAGAATGTGCCTCATAAACCCGGCTGGCATCTCACTTTTTCTCCGCTCGCTGCCAGCGCAGGATGAGGGTAAAAAGCTTCTGGAAGGGGTCGAGCTTCGTCCTGATGGCATCCACCTCTGGGTAGGAAGTCAGCTCCCACTTGTAGAGAACCTCCTCCTTGTTAATAAATGTAATGGTGTCGTCAGCGTCCTGCAGCCGCTTGCTGATCATCCTCATGTCGCTGACATACTGCACGCATAAAAAGACAAAGATCCCCATATAGCCTAATCAGACTGATGGTGAAAGTGCTGTTAGCGAGCACCTATGAAGGCCCGCAGGGCACACGCGAGGGTGGCTGGCCAGCACCACACCCTTTGTCTCTCTAGTGGCAATGTTTACGCACTGCACCCGGTACTCATTTTAGGCTGAGTCGACCTAGGGGAGGCCCAGCACCGGTTCAGAGTGGTACTCATTTATCAACCCCCCCAAAAAAATAGGCCAATTCTATCTCGTGACCATTCTGTGAGTTGGGCGGTCCAACCGCGGCACCACGCGACCAGAGAGATGCACAGGGGGTGGCGGTGACTGCAGCTGAGCGAGCGAGCATGCGTCCAGCCCCGCTATGAACCCGAACCTGTGCAATCATGTCCAGCTCGCTGCACTCGGCAAATCCGTCGACGCGCCGTGACAGCTTGTCCAGCTCCAGCAGGAGGCGCTCCCTGCGAGCCAGCAGCTCCGACTCGCCCTTGCGTTGAGCCACCTCCATCAGCTGCACACAGTGACATTCCAACGTCAATTGGGACAGCAGTAAATTCCTTGCACCACAGAGCAACAGGAAACATTTTATATCAAAGGACAAAGTCAAAGTAAGTATCATGTGCATGTACAGCCCTATTTGCCAATCCCCTGCTGTACGAGGGCCTCCCCGCATCATGCAGGTTTTAGGGGTTATTTTATCATACTTCACCATGCTCGTTATTGCGGGTTGGTGGAGGTGGGGAGCGTAAACATGGGAGCATAGAAGTAGAGGATAGAAAAATATGTTGCTTCAGAAAACAGAGAAAACCCACACCAAGGACAGGATAACAAAGGTCCAAACAGATGAGTTATTAGCTGACTGACTATTCTGTCATGTCCTGGCCACATCACAGCCCAGCAGATGAACATTTCATAGCTCATGGTTTATGTGTGATCCACCAACCAACACCTCCCACGCACCAAATTAAAGGCATCCACGACCACACCTCGCAGTCAATACAGCAGCACTCTTTTCTCGACATCACTTTGATACTTTACATTTCGGCAGCAATAATGTAACATTGTAACTGCACAGCAGGTTCACGCACATTGGAGATCATAATTATGATAGATCCCCACCACTATAACACTAAGAATGTGCCCATGTGTGTTTTGTGCCTGTCCTCTCAGTCAGTCAACCTATGTCACCTGGGTCTGTTCCGTGACCTCCTGCCACGTGGGCTCAAAGTACACCTAGCATGGCACAAGCGCCATGGGGACATCACTGCCCCTCAGTGGCGAATGGCGGTTGTTGTTCTTGTTGTTATTTGTGTATCGCAGCCCTTCAGACAAACCGCGCTTGCTGAAGAAAATAACTTACCTCCTCATTGCGGTCAAATGCAGGGGCGATCTCACGGGGCCAACACAGCACTTGGGAGTTGAAGGCGATGTCCTCTGGTGACAGGATGTGGACATCAAGAAGGAACGACATCCGCCTGTAGCACTCCTGGACCGCACGACATTCAGATGCATACGGGGTTACTTTGCAGTAGCAGTAGAATTAGAACTGTGCACAATTAATAATTATTGAATGGTGGTGCTTTAAGGCCCATGAGGACAAAATGCCATTAACATTTGAAATAAATCATTATAACTTATTCAATATATGTTGCTGTTTGCAAACTAACCAAGATATTGACACATTCCCGTTTAAAACGGTTAAAAATCGATCACTGGGTACATCCTCAGAAAGGTTCATCTGGTCACACATTGAAAAGAACGTCACAATTTAGGATGACCGGACTATGGTAGTGTGTGGATAGTAATGCATCACTCTAAAATCGAGTGCTGCAATGCACCTGAATCTTGTTGTTGAGGACCGCAATGCCGTTGCTGCGAGCGTTGTCCACGTAGGAGCCCAGCTCAATCATCTCCTCGCTGTTCTCCGGCACTTTGAGGCAGCGCTGCCGCATTACCTCAAACTCCTGGCAAATCCTGCACAAGAGAAACCCACACACCACTTCTCAGCAAACAGTAGCGCCACCCTCGCATTCACAAATTAGGCCACTGCTGACAGGGGTTTTTCTGGGCGCATTGATGATACTTGCCTATCACTCTGATATCCATACACCATTTAACCTTTTTATATGCAGGTAAGTTTGGTTGAAAGGAAAAGTCTTTGATAAACAAGACGTTATTTCAAAATACAAGAACAAATATGTACATGCACATACAAACCACTGCCAGATGAGGGTCTCCCCATATCTTGTTGGTCATGGGGTTTATTTGACAAATACAAACTTCATACACTGGTGGGTGTGGGTTGATGAAGGCAGGAGAGTCCAGGACTGGTGGAGATATCCCTCACCACTGATATTATCCGTGACTAAAAATCGAACTAAGGTCGCTGGGTTCATCGCGTGATTTGCTAACCACTACACTCCTCCCCTTAATTACGTAAAATATATTATATAATTAATTGCATATTATATTAATATTGTATAGGGCAGCCCAGGACATACAACCTTTCATAGAAAGTATGTGTGAGTTGGCCATTCATGGCCAACACCAGTGATGATTATCTGAACCGGTCAATTTCCTCTCTCAAATGAGTACCTGGTGCGGTGTATAAACATCGCAACTTGGGAGATAAATGTGGCTGGGCATGAAGCTGACCACCCACTCCCTTATGTGCCTTCAAAGATGCTTGCTAACAGCACTTGCCCCAAAAGTGTGTTCAGGCTATACAGGAAAACTTTGTCTTTGGGGCCCATACATTGCGTTCTGGGCGCGGTGCTGGTTGAGTAGCTTATCCAGCAGCAGGTTGATGAAGCCACGCGCCTTGTCCATCAGGCCCTGCTTGAGCTCGCTGCACGCAAGCCGCACCATGGGGAAGTGCAGCACCGAGGGCAAGCCCTGTAGTTCACGCACCAGCGCCCGGAACTCTTCCACCAGCTGTGCTCACGGCAACAGAAGATTGGGTGAGGATTAGGGTACTAACTGCCTTATTGATGATCCATTCTTGTCTCCTAGTATTCAATATTCAATCTCACCATCACCATGTTGCCTCCCTTTGCCTCTTCCACCGGCACTCGTTATACTCAATGATCGACTGAGGCCAAGACCATCAAACTCTAAAAGCTTGAGTCCGTGGTTTAACTTTATGTAGCCTGGGATTCATAGCGATACTGGCCCAGTGATCTGACAATGGTGGAGCATTCGCCTGCTGTGCTACCCATCCACCACTCCACTGCATACCAACAGCACACATTTACCCATTTAAAAGAATTGCAGCTTGAATAAAAGTTGTTCTTTTTTAGTAAATATGCCCATACGTTGTGTGTTCCAGGATGTATAATATAATTTATAAACGTTGTTAATGAGAAGAAAACGCTTTAAATAGATTTTCTGCAGTGACATTAACGCAACATGTTACTCCGTCATGATAGAACTGTGGCGGCACACTTGAAAGTCACTTTATAAGTTCATTCATGAAGATTTAAACCCATGCCAGGCAGCACACAGCACACAATGCCCAGCTATGACTCTATACAATAAGAGCTATTTGGTTTTAAGGTTACACGTTGCTTTAAGGTATTGTATGGGTATGCGAGGTAGATGCCTTTTCGAAGCAGATATTATTTAACACTACATGTTTATATATCTGATATACATACATAGCAACAAGTTTCAATTAATCTGGTTACTGTACAGAGTATATTTATATTTCACTTTGTAGCTCCCACCATGCCCCTTCATAGACTTCGAAGTGGCCACCCTCAAGGGTTATGGATCCATAGACAAAAGCATACAGAACAACCGTACGGTAAACACTTACTGTTGCACATTCATCAAAGGAGCGATCCTCTGAAATAAAAGTGTGCACCCGCTCCCTGGCAGTTCCATTCACCAGCCATCCATATCGGTCAACTGTGAACCACATGAAACCATTCCCAAGCAACGATTACACTGAGACCATCAACTCACTAAAGCTGTTTTCAATCAGTAGCATTTTTTTGCAAAAATATAACGAACGGAGAACACCAAGGGGCACCTGGGCATATTTGTGAAAGAGCTGTGAATATGTGTACTTGTCTTGCGAATACATGCATGTATTTTGTGTGTTCATAACCACATGTCTAGGTTCATACAACATTTTTATGGGGTCTCACTGTAGCTCTGCAGATGTTCCTGTGGGCCCTGCATGTTCGCCTGCACTGCGTGCAGGAGTGCAGCTGAGGCACGCGTGAGCACATCCTCTGGGGTCTGCACCGTGATGGTCTCAGGGCTGCTGCTGCCGGCCAGCCAAGCATGCACCATGGGAACAGCCTGCGGAGTCAGGACCCATACATGCTCAACTGCAGCTGCATGGGACATTTACTTTATTAAGTGTAAGTATTTGATTCCCCAAATGGAGCAGTTCGCATAGTGTTTAGCACACTGCACCATGTACGCGGTGGATTAGTATTGATTTCTGGGCACATTAGTGCGAGTTATATCAGAGCCGGTCCTGAAAGCCCACCCAACACTTGACAAACCCCCAATAACCAGTATTGTGAAGTATAGACGTCATGGAATGAGGAATGTTTCATCTAGCAGATTGACAAAGGGCTGTAAATAAGAAAAGTTAAATAAATTAATGTAATCAGCTAGTGATTGGCCATGTGCTGATATTACAAGCAATTACATCAACAGAAATGAAATCAAACATCTAAAGGACTCATTAATGTAGCTATTTTGGCAGTAATTATGGCACTTTCTTGTGCAATAATGGCTGTTTTCACATAAAGTTGACCCCATTCCAAAAACTGCCATTCACGAGGAGCCGACTTTTATTTTTAAATAGCAACAGCCTGTTCTGCCAGAATTGTGGAGGTGTAATGTCATGGCCTTAAAATGTCCATCATGGTCAACACAAGAACGATCCAAACATATACACACATGGACGGCATGGCATGGGAGGGGGCATTCATCCACTGGCGTATTGAGAATTAAATTCGCACAATGTGTTACTTTTACACATTCATTATCAATGTCAATCAGTTTAGACTCAATTTCAAATCGGCAGCATTATGTGACACCAAGAGGCCATGTGAGCAAGCAAGAAGAGGAGGGCACCTGCAGCGAGCGACCGATCTGAGCCGCCACGGCGAGCACGGCCCCGCGCAGGTCCTCGCTGCTCGGGTACGACTCCATGCTCTCGTCGTCAAAGGTCAGCTGCACCCGGAAATGTGGCAGCGCTCGCCCATCGGCGAGGTCAAAGAGCCGCACGTACGCCTCGATCGTGCGCACAATCAGGTCCCTCAGCTGCACGCGTCCCATGAACGACAACAACAAAAACAGCAGGAGCAGCAGCACTGAATCGTTTAGAAATTTATCAGAATCAGAAGTGAATTTCTCAAGAAGCTCTCTTTCAAGGTTGACTCAAAACGAAAGCTCACCACCATCCTCATTGATCAATGGCTCAACCAAAAAAAAAGACAACGCTTATTTTGTGGCTGTGTACTTGTGGATATGTAGGCTGTGTGCCCTGGGCTACCCGATATCCACCTCAATCTTTATCCGTTTGGAAAAAAGACAATGATGGTCATGTTGGGTGTTCTGTCACAGCTCTCTCATAATGTCAACGCATTGATATTGCATGAATGGTTGTCTGAGGAGTTGATCAAGCAAGGTGATACTATGATTAGAGTGCTTGACTTGCAATCAGAATGTTGCAAGTTCAAATCTCGGTCAGGGGTTAACTCAGCCCACGATCCTAAGGGTCAATGAAACTAGTGCCACTTTACAGAAAGTCAACGATGGTCATGTTATGGAGAGTCTAGTCCGTGCAACAGGAATGCATACTGTCCATCAATTGCTCCTGACTACTAACAGATAATAGATGGGACCATGAGATCAGGTCATATATAAGTGCTGGATGGATTGTTGTATTGCAAGACCATGAGGGATGGTGGCAGCTTCAGGAGGCCTTCATCCAGCAGACCCTGCCTGATGATAATGATGCTTGAGAACACAATGACTTTTTAAGAGTAATTATTGTCCACCATGTCACCATTATAAATGAGATAATGGTCATGAAAAACAAAACAGAGCATATTAATTCTTATTATTCTTGGTTCCTGAGTGAATGTCCTCCCTTCATGCGGATAAACCGTGTGGCGGCGGTAGTGACAACAGGCGCACCTGGTTGGAGAGCAGCGTGGAGACGCAGCCGTGGAAGGACTCGGTGGAGTCTGCCTCCGTGCTCTTGTGCTTGTCAGAGAAGAGGCTGACGACGCGGGGAAACCACGAGTGCATGAGCTTCTCCTCGCCCTTCTCCAGTTGCAGCGTCACGTTGTTGCTAAACGTTGTCAGCTCCAGAGGCCCCATCGCCCTGCAATTGTTAGCAGGTGACACCAATGCCTTGTTATGATAAAACATCTACCATTGTTTGAGTTAATCTTATATATATATATATATCTGTCTGGCCAGGTAATGCTGTGAGCAAAGTTCTTACATATCACAGGATAGTCTTATTTTTTAGAAAGCTCCTATCTTCTGGAAGAACAATGTATTTCACAGGAAATATATTGCTCTCTAACATGTTGTGAGCATTTAATTAATCACGCAAAATTCTACCATCTTCCAAGGGTCCCGTGTAAACAAAAATGTACATTTGACATCTATATTGAGGTGTAAAATGAAAAAACGCATTTTCTGAAAACCTTGGCGGTTGACAACCTTACTCCCTGGTGGCAGAACTACACAGCCACTATTCATATCTACACACAGACATTCACACTGCCAATACTGCTGCAGAGTTACATTGTCAGCAGAGGGCATTGCGGGAAAGTCAATGATACTGTCCGATGTTGTAACAACCCTGCCTATCCCGGCTTTCACCAGGAACCCGCAACGATCAGCGTAGTAAAAACATAGTCGAATGACCCTCACGACTCACAACGCATGGGGAGGCACTCATCCAGCAGTGGATTAACTACGCCACTGTACATGTACATTGAGACATAAATAATGTGAATGCGCAAAGCGTGGGTTGAAAGTACTTTATGTATCATAGTGTTACCGGTATCCGGAGAGGTCGAGAAGCAGAGTCTGGGACAGCACCGTGTGTCCCATGTCAAGGATGCTCCTCAACGCCGAGTGCATGATATGTAAGTTTCCTAAATACAAATTGTCCTTAATACATTACCAAAGTGGTGATCTATACACATAGCCAGGGTACACACCATTAAGGGAAGCTAAACCACAAATCAAGAGTAGTAAGTCATCATGGTCAATGTTGTTCATACCACCGCACCTTGCTATCACTCAGTTTCTTTAGCCAGCTTTCATATTTTAGACATAGTCAACACCCAACTTTTAAGGTATGATTCTTAATTAGTTAATTTTGGATGAGAATGTGGAGGTTGAATGAAAATGTTTAGCTTTAACCCACCACATACTCAGCAATTATGGCAATTGATTTGCCAGAGATTAAATCCAGCATCATCAGGTGTTACTAAAATCTCAGCTCTTCTAGGTCTGATTTTAGAGTTTGACATTGGGAAAATGTTCCAGAGTTTTAGATGAATCCAAACATTAAGAAAATCAGAGCAGATAAAATGTTTTTATTAATAATACTCAACAACATCTTAATGTGCCGGTGTACAACTGGCATTTGAAAGTAATTAAATAAAAACAATAGTTTTTACTGTTGAAACTGTTAACATTTAAAATTCAGTGATATTTCCGGGGAAAAAACTTAGCACGTAAAAAAACAAGTATAATTATTGAAAACATTTTAAATCAAAATATGAAAAGAATCCAAAATTGTGGCAAAATGCAAAAGTAAACCAGAAATTGTTTTACTGGTAGGAACCTCCTGGTTACACCAGCCCACAGGGGATTATTGTGCCCGTCCGTCTGTCGTGCAGGGAGGGGCTGGGTGGGGAGGGGAGGGTGGGGTGGAGCTGGGTGGGGGTGGGAGGGGTGGGGCTGGGTGGGGAGGGGAGGGGCTGGTCACCCCGTGGTGCCCTTATAAAACTCAACGTTTAACTTACTTACGCCGGCTTGTGCCCACCCTCAGTCGGGTATATATGCGGAATACACCACGCCGCCATTGACTCTGGCCATTGACCGAGCAACCCAACGTTCCTACCAGCTCCCTCCGCAGGAATGTGTTAATTGAAAACTCATCCCTATATCCTACCATCGTCTGTCTTCATGGTTTTCCCACAGTCACAGACCTCTCGGTGTCACCCTAATGCCTGTCTGAGTAAACTGCCCTACTGTACCCTGCAGATGGGAACCATTACACCCCCCTGTACCAACTAAAGTTTGGAGATCAGCAGCTTATGGAGCGCATAACCTTAGAGGAAAGAGTTACGTTAATGAAGGTAAGCAGTGAAGAAAGCGTTCATTCGAGTTTCAGCCATACACTTATCAGGTTATCCTTATTACCTTTAATGTCCTTCCTTGCTGCTTCAAAGCTATCCCTCCAAGGGCTTGAGAAGTCCAGTCCCCTACAAAGCAGAATGCAAGGATCTGCATTAATACACTACAGATGGTAAAGAGACGCATGTAATAGCTAGCGCCATCCTACTGCAGTGCAGGAACGCACTGCATGTGTGTGTGTGCTGATAGCCTAGCCAATGATGCCCACCATCAATTGTGCCATCTACAGGCTGCACAAACATTTTGACTGTCAATTTCCCTTTCGGGCAGGATAATAATTTTGCTGGGCCGCCTTTTGACTGCCACACCCCTATCCCCAGCCACTATAAATGTATTATCAGCTGTGGGTGGGGCTTGGAATCAGCAGCCATTAACTGGAGATTATGGGAATCTGACAACTAGAAGAGTCACCCACATTATTCCATAAATGACCTTGCCCCTCCCTCACTCCTCTCTACCTCTAGTGGAGCGTTGGTGAAATGTGCATTTTGGCCAACGTGCAATGGGTGAACACATTCTGCAAAAAAAGGGCCCAAAAAATCTTACATTTCAATTATAGGAAAATATTCATGAAAAAAACTAATGAATAATTGTCCCTTGTTACGGTGAGAATTATACATTTTGGCTTTGATCATATATGAACAGGCACAAGCGGCTGTAAAGGCAAGCAGAGTAGTAAAACGTAATACGAGACGACAAACCGTACTCTGGCTCCCGAGGTGGAGGAGAAATGTCTTCGTTTTCGAGGCCCTTCACGTCAGGTTTTACCAAAATGTTTTGAACTGAAACACAGAGCACCCCAAATCACGTTGGAATAGTATATTACTGGACAACACCATGCAGGAAAAATCTAAAACACCATGCAGGAAAAATCTAAAAGGTTATCTCATGTCGAGTTGACAAGAATCCTAATAAACTAGAATTACTGTATGCAGGCTAAGACAACATCAAAATATATACACCACAAGACAGCATATTACATAGGATGCATACAATTATATGGAAAACCCCAAAGTACAAAACTACAGAATGCTGCACAGATATGTATGTATGTTGAACTTCTTTCGCACTGTACGTAGCCAATTGTGCTCATCGGAGGTGCAGGAGAAGGACAACAAACTAAACACAAAAAGCAGATATGCTGTTATAATCCAACTTACTGCCCTGCCTTCTATAAGTACCACATCGTCACTCAGTGTTTGACAGAAAATATCAAGGCTGTCTACTATGCATGGTCCTTCAACACCATCTACAATTTTATATATGGCAGGCATACATATTCATCACGAAATGTAAAAAAAGTCAAAAGTCAAAGTGGATGAGATCATAATCATCTCCGTTGATGGCCACAATCCAGTATTGGAACTACTGGTTCACTGATAATTATTTATAATACGCAGAAGGATAATAATCCAGGCTACGAGCCAACATGGTGCGAGAACACTCCATGTCCATCCATGAAGCCCTGCGCGTGGAGTGAAATTATCAAACCGCAATGGCGGCACTCCACCCTCGAGGCAAGAGTTGGCTTTTGAAAGAGGATTTATGGGGTAGTTTTTCCAGAAGCCATTTCAAAAGTCGCATTGTTGTGAATCAATGTGGTTTTGCTAGTGCAAAATGTAATTTCCCTCGCCTGCTATGCAGGAGGTAATGCCGTCTGTATATTTGAAGCGTGCGTATTCTCTCTCTCCATGGTTTCGTGGATTTCTATTCCGTTCCTCCAGTTTTTCCCTCCACATTTAGAAACGTGCGTTTAGATTATTTGGTTGCCACTATATCATTTCCCACAATGATAAGCCACTTTGTTGAGCTATCATGTGTGGCCAGGTCACCTATAAAATTCAGAGATATTAAATAATAGCTCAGTAGGCTTTAGCTGGTAAAATAAAATAGATTCGTTGAAAATAGCATCAAAAATATTTATTCAGTTGAGTCTTTATTTCACACCAAACAAAGAAGAAGAAATTTACCTAAGTTGTCTGGAAATACAGCACTGTCATATTGGCATGAGTAAGGCACTGCCAATACCCTCACCCAATTCTCTCTCATGCCCTCACTCTCACCCATGCTCTTGTGCATGCTGCTCCGGTAGGAAGCGTCGACCTCCTGCAAAAGTTCCTTGAGCAGCTCCTCTTGCCTCAGTGGAACAGGCACCAAGCACAGCATGGCCTCCTGCCAGGAAGGCGGCATGGGTGCCACTGGCCCACTCTCCACCTGTCGCTTGAGCGCTAGGTAGTTCAACTGCATTGTTTTGGAAAAGCATAAACACTCACACATCAACGATTTGCTATTCGCACGACATCAATGATGTGCAAAGCAAATCCGGATATGTACACTTTTGTCCCAGAGTCAAGAAGTTGCCACATCCCTCATATGCACGTGCATTCTCTGATATTCCAGTTCCTCCAACATGGAAAATGACCATAAAAAATATATCTAGCTAAACATCGCAATGCAGGATCCTCTTTAAAATAAGTCCTGCAACCACACCAGGCCCTCACGTCCTCTGCTAGACCCCTTAGCTGTTGCAGTTAATGCCATCCTCCAAACTCTGGACAGCTGTACAAGAAATACTAGAAAAAAAGCGAAGCCTCCTGTTTTTCAATAATGCCTCATTTTTAAATATTGAGACTAAGTCTCTATTCGGCGAATGCATTCAGACATTCAGATGACAAAAGTCAACTCTTAACACGACAATGTGACACCACATGTCGATCCTATAAGTAAAAAAAAGTAGAGACAGGAATCAAAATCAAAAGTAGATACTGAACACAAATATAATTTTACAATAAAAATGTGTGTACGTTTGGCAAAACCATTTTGCATCCTCAAACAGATGGAAATGTTCCCCCAGTCTGAATCCTGCATATTCTTGCTGCCCACCTTCAACATATTAGCACCAGACCACCTACATAACGGAATTAATATGAGCACCCACAAGAAGGGATGTCTTTATCCCAGTTAGACAGGCAGTCTCACATTATAACAATTCCACACCCTCAACTGAGCTTTACTCACATCACCTCAAGGGATGAATAGTACTGGAACAGGAAGGACTCACCAACTCATTCAGGTTGCAACATTCAGAAAAAACGTACCTGGAACTTCAAGCAAACACATCACCAGAGCATATGCAATCTGCTGCATATCAAGCAGGCCATAGAGCTAGAGGAAGGGAAATCCTGCAGCAGGAAGCTAGAAGAATCCATGTGTCCACAACTACCGGAAAGCAGAACCCAGACGTCCCGACCCAGCACAACTCTTTTCTTGTCGCAAGGTTTGGGGCGCAGATGTGGGCTTGACGCCTCTTGTGCTGGACCCTTCCAACCCCTCTATCTCCCCTTCCTCTGCTTGAGATAGGTTATGCTATTCCAAGCTATAATCTATTATAGTACTTCACGTTCTTCCTTGTTTTTTTAACACAGAAAATTGACCTAAGCCAGAGCCAACATTGTACGCATGTCTCCTCTGTGTCATCCCATGATGCCAGGATTCTCACCCTTGTTTTTTTCTGCGTGCTGTTCATCTGCAAAAGAGTCCGAAAAATATGTCAGTTTTGCAAATAAATATTGCATCCAAAATATTTAATATTTATCCTCATGGCAAAAAGTGATCTTATGCAGCATCATAAAATGTATAGAATGTGTCCACTTTTACAACATTCAGTGAAACAGCATTAGGTTAATGAAGATATTGCGATGCCATTGTAGTTGTTATGAATGTAAAAAATGCGTAGACTAATCATATTTACTTTTGTTCCAAAAGTTATAACTGAGGTACAGTATTTGGAAAAAGTTAATTATAGCGAAAAAAATGTAAAAACAAGCTTGAAACTAATTATAAATGCTTCATAAAGCATTCATCATTGTTGAAGGCCTATCTAGCCAGTGGACCATCCACCCAGGTTGGTTGCAAAATAGTTCAAGATGAAATTAATTTGAAATAAAATAAAAATAATGAAAATACCCTCATTTCGACAAGTAGAATAGCTAATTCATAGTCTCATACAGTAACTCAACAAACAGTGGCCTACAGTTATGGCTGTAGGTTTGTTTCCTGAACTCTGGGGTGTCCTGTTATCACTCTTGACTTATGCATGTTGAACTCCTTTAGCAACGAACGCAACCAACTGTGCTAATAGGAGATACAGGGGAAGGACAACAAACTAAACACAAAACGTAGTTCAAACAGAAATTAGTTTTCATTTTAGATGAATGATACTCACTACCAAGCTATACATTGACTAACTGGTAGAGCTCTGACACGTGAGAGTGATTATTCACGATGTAAGTATATGTCTTGGCTGGACTGTGGCTAGGTCTACTGACCGTAGAAGGCAGCTGTGGCTCAGGTGGAGATGGAACCCTTTGCCTGTTGTGTTCTGATGTCCCCTCATAAACCTTTAGGGCATCGGCCAACCTGTACAACACAATGCGACAATGATTTGGGATTTCCACGGTAATACAGCAATCATGCAGTGGATAGCGCATGATACTATTAACCTAGTGACCTGGGTTTAATTCCCAGCCACGTTTAACATAAATATTGGGTCATATTTAAAATAGTCATGTAAAGCTATCAAATGTACTGGTTTGGCCGAAACAGTCCCAGTTTCTGAACGTTTTTCAAAAAGGCTTGCTGATAAACACGCATAGGAAAGATGTGTTGCTAGTTCTGGTTGACTTGGCTTATCTGCAGAATGGCAATGTGTAACTAACTGGAGTGATGGTATAGCTTCCAAGGAGCATTTCGAGATGCTGCCTAGCTGAGGATAAATATGAATAAAGGTTGTGATTTGCTGCTCAAGTATTGTGTGCTGTACCATCAATAACAACACCATCACCGTCATCAATAGAAGTAGCATCATTACCACCAACATCATCACCACGACCATCATCACTGCTGTCATCATCATCATCATCATACTTGGTCCCAGTGCTGGATAAATGTCTCCCCAAATTGTTGCCATCTCTGACGATCCTGAAATGCTGCAATCCATCTCAATCGTGCACGTGATCAGATCTCGCTGCCCCACCTTGGCAGTGATCATCGTCGGTGTTTTTTGCATTTCCCAGTGCAGTACAAATGCTGCACTCATGCAGGGGAGACCAAGCCGTGCACAGCTCAAACTTCATCATAATCATCAGCATATATAATCATCATAATCGATCCATCATCAATACATTATACATCGATAATCATCCTAGTCATTAGCAATCTATCATCATCAGTACCATCAAATTCGCCATCATTAATCCACAGTGGGAGATCACAGATAAACAAGTACACATTGCATGATGAGGGAGCGTTTTCCTCGCAACCACTCTTATCTCCAAAATATCCGCTGAACAGGAGTTAAATCGGCAGCAGATGTGTCTGTTCGCCTACTTCTGGGCGTGATACATATCTTTGTATACTCGGAGCAATATATCCCGCGGATAGATTCTTGCAGAGGATGATGTAAATTGGAACCCGCAAGCAAAACGTGTGCAGGCGCCAACACCTACATAATCTGCTGCAGCAGCCGCCTCTGGCTCTCACTGCGCCGGTGATGCAGCAGCTTCCTCTGCTTGGGCGTCATCTCCCGCGATATCACAGAGTCCGGGTGGATAATTGGAGGCAAGTGAGGAAGCACAAGCGAGTCATCCTTGGAAGGCTTGGCAGCCTTCAGTTTGTTTGCCATCGCCATATCTGGAAAAACAATGCATACACCATTCAATTCGGCTCAATTCAATATATTAAATGCATTCAAAATAAAGTCTGGTCATCTGCGTGGCACTGGATAGACTTCTCAACTTACAAACTGGAGAAATGTGAGTTAAAATACTGACCCAGAGGTTGGCCGTTTTCAATGTGGATAAAATGTCTATTGCTTTGTAGAGGTCAGCAGTGGCAGTTCTATGAAGTGACAAATTCCGTGAATATAAATGTAGAGATGTCACCAGCCCTCAGGGTCTCCAACGAACAGAATCAGCACCCCATCATGGATCGTACGAGCTCAGGAGATACAACCACTTTATGTAAATCACACACACGCGTACATTACATTAATTTACATTATTTACAATACACATCCCTCATAGTCACAGCGGTATGGGATGTATAGAAAGTTGCAACATACTCATGTTAAGATGTCCCTGCTCATCCCTGAGGCAGGGGTGGAAATTCCACATTGCCATGACAGTGATGAGTCATTCCATAGAACGCATGAACAACACACAAGTGTTACAATAGCTGCTTATTACCAGCACCCCCAGCATCAACGTGAAGTGTAAACAGGTTTCAAAAGTTAGGCACATCGTGTTTTAATGTTCGCAAATTCCAATGCACTATTCAAACACTGCGAATTAACTGTAATAACAACAACAATAAAAGTGCAAGCCGCTTACCGCGCTTGTATTATTGAATCCACGGGTCTTCGTTGAAGGCAATACTTGCCTATGAAACTGTGACAACCTTTACAAATTCATAAATGCCAAGCGATGTTGTGCCATTGCGTTGGCTGCGCAGAGCGCATTGCCGGTACAACAACGCGGGTTGCCGTGGCAACGGCCGCCGTGCGTGACGCGCGTCGCCGTGACAACCCGACGGCCATCTTGCTAAGGGGGGATCCCCCGCAGTCTGAATGCCGTCACGCGCCAGCCACCCTCCCCAGCCGTGACGACGACGAGGACCGCCGCGGTGACGTCATGGCGGTAAAGTCACGTAAATAGAAAATATAAATAACTATTTAAATAATTTTTCAATAAAAAATAATACTTTGAAAATAATAAAAGAACCAAGATTATTAATTCCTGCAAACACGAAAGTTTTAAGTCGTTCATGGGTTGACTAAGATGACTGGCAGATGCACCGCCTGTGTCTCCCCCTCTGTGCCAACTCTGCGTTTTATCCACCCGGCCCTGCTCGTTGTTGTGAGCAGCGACGTTCGCAACGTCCTTGACAAAGATGGCCGCCGTGTGCGACACTCGCTCGGCCAAGCCGCCAATTGGGGGGGGGGAGGGGCTTGCTTGCCAGCCAATAATATTCGCGCGTTGTGCCCACGTGCGAATGTGGCGTTGCCCTGGCAACGGGAACGCAACTGGTGCCGTGTCGCGCACGCCACTCCACAGCACGGGACAGCGTCTGTTGTTGTTGTTGACAATATCAAAGCTGTGAAAAAATAAGAATGGGGTTTACCATTACCTGGCAATAAAACACGTGTTAAGATGTTCACACACCAAATAGAACGGGTTTTTTTGCAAATGATCAAGTCGGCGTAAACCACACGCAATGCTTGTGGTGAACGTGCAAACAGACACGCTCTGATAGTGATCATTGTCACGATGTCGTGGGTACACAGGGAGAGCAGCGAGGCTTCTTGGAGGCAACACGTTGATTTCAACAACACTTGTTAACACGAGGGGTAGCTGCCCCTTCCGCCAAGGTAACTGGGGGGGGGGGGGGGGGTCTCTCCAGGCTAACTCGCCCGAACGCGACTCGGGGGGGTGGGGAGCTGTCAAGCCGGACTACGACTCGAGTCCTGGTCTTGACCTCGGGGCTTCTTCAGGAGGACGTCTTCGTGTCTTCAGACCAGCAACAACCACCGGACCCGTTAAGGGGTCCGGCTAATATCCCCAGTCCCGGGGTCTCCCACGCCCCTAGGCGCCGCCTTCCTTCTCGACCCTTCCAGAGGCCCCTGGAACCGGTCCCGGGGTCCCCCAGTCCCCCTCTTTGGGGGCCCCGGTACCTCCAGCCACCAGCCCTCCGGGTTCATCCGGAATGCCATGGCCCCCTGTCACCCCGCGCCGCTCCCGGCGCTCTCGCCCCCTAGCCTGGGAGGGCTGCCACTGCACGTGGAGTGCACGATGCACACTGCCGTGTTGTGGGTGGTGTGAGCAGCATGTCGGGCCCGTGCTTTACACACGGGCTGGCCCAACGTGGCATGCAGTGGCATCCCCCGATGCCACTACAATTAAATGTATGCGTTGACTTTATGTAATTTATGCATAGTCTTTGAAACTAATTGGGCTACACCAGACAAAGCAGCCTTCTTCGTGGCCTTGGTCCACCAGTGGCAGACCAGAGAACGCTTAAAGGCGAAGAGTACAAGGACAATGCCACTATCAGGGCATTTATAGGTCGGTGTGAGCAGCTACAAAATGGGACCTTTTTGCCAGTATCAAAGTATGAAAAAAATCACAGGTTTTACCCTTTCTAGCAAAAAAATAAATATTGTTTTGCAGGGAATCGTGTCTGCATTAACCACGCACGGCACTTGTGAGCATGTAAACAAATGCACGCTCTGGTAATATTTACATTGTCTTTGAAACTGCTTGTTCCACACCAGAGACAGCTTTCTTTAGGGCCTTGTCTCAAACAGTCTTAGACCTGAGAACACCAAAAGGGGAACAGCACAAAGACAATGCCACTCTCAGGGCATTTATAGCTGCGGTGAGCAGCTACAACATGGGACCTTTCTTGCCAGTATCAAAGTATAATAATTGGTTTTACCCTTTCTGGCAATAAAAAGGTGTTAAGATGTTCAAACACCAAGGCCTTAAAGAAAGCTGTCTCTGGTGTGGAGCAATCAGTTTCAAAGACAATGCAAATCATGTCTGGTGAACATGCCAACAAACATTCTCTGAAAATATTTGCATTGTCTTGGAAACTGATTGTTCTACACCACGCACCCCAGAGGTGTTAACCCACACGGTTTACGCCGTATTCTTGGACAGGGAAATTGAGTTGTCACGTCCATACGGCGTACAGCCGTTTAAATACAGGCAACAAAAATAATGTTTGTCTATTTATTCGTGTTTCTTCCTTGCGATGGGACTTTTTAGGGTGAACGTTGACATTTATATTGGCACTGGGTGACCAATAAGGTCTGAATTGGTCTGTAATAAGATAGGCACTGATAAGGTATGCGCACCCCATAGGACACGAGTCAAATCGTTTGATGACACTGCATTGAGTGTGCAAAAGCACAAATAACAAAACAATATCTCAACATCTTCTTGGTTCTTTCGGTAAAGTCACGTAGAAGGGAAGTAATAAAATAATAAAAAGAAAACATTTTTATTACTATGTTTTATTTTTTTTATTTTATTATTTCCCTTCTACGTGATTTTACCGAAATAACCAAGAAGATGAATCCCTGCAGTCACGAAAGCTTTAAATCGAAAAATATCTCAACATGTTCGTCATTAACACTGCCTCTTTAAAAGTAGAAAACAAAAACCGTGGCGACGTTTCGCTGTTCTTTACAGCACGCGGGCTAAAGAGCGTGGATACGAGTTGGGAGACCGCACGCATCAATTTCATTTTCTGCTCAAATGAGCGTCCTTGCCGTGCTCATCTCCTGTGTACTACAGCCCTGCAGACGACTATTGTGGCAACCTAATTTGTCTGACACAAAGGTGTTTTATTACATTAGGCCAGCAATTCTAAAAGGGATTATTGTTTAGGCTTTGGTGAACTTCCTTGTAACGTTGAAGCCGCCCTCGAGAAACATATTGTACAACTGCAAATGTTGCAGTTTCAACTTGTTATGGCAGGCGTTACACAGTGTCCCATTGCAAAGACGTAACCGTAATCACAGCCCAGGCAGCCCATACTCCAGTTTCCATGACACGCCCTTTGACACCTTCCTTCGTTGCCTTTGTGATCAGAAAAAAAACCTCAACTCTTTTCGAACATTTTTGAGTAGCCGACATATAAAGAGTATCAATCTCATCAATTATATTATCAATCTGACATGCACATGTATCTCAACCATCGTGGTTGTTCAAACACTGATGGCGTTTTATCTTCAAATTCAGTGTTGACTGATCCACCGAGTTAGTCGTTCCTGTCTCTCTGCTGAATAGAGCAGCTTAACATTCTCATGCATGTCTAATTCTGCTTCTACAGCGGTTACCCAGTTTGTTGAGGGATAGTTGTGTGTGTACAAACCTTAGCTAGGTATTACCACAATCATGGCAGTGGAACAACATTCTCAAATATTATAAGGATTGCAGCTGATATGCAAACTGCCTCATTTTGTCGCCAATAAACACTACAATACCACATGCTGTTTATTAAAAAGGACTGTGTAGATATGCATACGGTAGTTTCTTTTGGGATTAATCGCATGGTAGTGTGGGTTGTCAGCATTTCATTCTTCAATGCTGTACAGCCTACACTGTTCTCACTCATGTGTACTATTGTATACGTAATGTTTTATTTCAGTAGGTTGCATCTAGATGTCTTGTAGTTTATGTGTATTGTTAAGTGTCAAATACTGATACACAATGTATATAAGTTACACATCACTACACCATCTCAATATAATCCCGTTTCAGGGATATAGATGTTTGTATTTGTGGTAAGAAAAGCATTTTTGAGGTGGCCGGATAAGCTGAGAGGTGAGGCCAGTGAGTTGGCACGACTCACAGGGAAAAATAAAATATAATGATGGGTTTGTTTTACTGCATCGTTCGTACAAATTGCATCTCACAATCGGCGAGGAGCCACCGACGAGCTGGGACGCGACCGGCTGGTGAGCTCGCACCAACGATTGCTCTGCTGCTCCCTGTATAGTATGTGGGTCTTTCGGTAAAGTCACGTAGATAAAAAAATATATAAATAAATCACGACGTTTCGATCGCAACACAAGCAATCGTCTTCAGGTGAAAAAATACAGCAGGCGGACTGCTGAGGCAGGAGAAATGTAGCGAGAGAGCGACTGCAGCCAGAGGTCATATCGGTTTGAGATGGATACAACCCAAGGGTAAGCGGGCGGGGCAGAGCCAGATATGCCTCGGCCATTGTGTTGCTAGAGATTAGCATGTCAATCTGTTAATGTAACCCCACGACTCCATTGTATTGCTCGAGATTAGAGATTAGCATGTCAATGTGAGACGGCTCCCGCAGCAGCGGCTGTGTTAATGAGAGACATTCAGCCTATTAAACAACGAGCACCACCGCCGTATAGAGGAAAAGG